CAGAGAAAATGTGTTACTGGGGGTAACTGTAGAAAATTATTCCTTCTGTATGCCTTCACTCAAGAGTATCATTTCTTCTAAAAATGGTGTTACATGAGAATAGGAGTGGTCCTCTTTATTTATTCTACCGTATCAACATAAAGACAACTTGTACACAATGTAACTTGAACACAAACCAGACGTGTTCACCTGGTTTGTTTACAAAACTCGCGTCCGACTGGTTTGTTTACAAAACTCGCGTCCGACTGGTTTGTTTACAAAACTCGCGTCTGCCTGGTTCGTTTACATAACTCTGTGCCTGTCCTCTCTCATGTACTCATTCTCTCTCTCTCATTTATTAATTTTATCTCGTTTACTCACCTCTGACCCTACATTAACCCTTTCAGGGTCCGTCCCGTAGATCTACGGCTTTACGTTCAGGGTCCAAACCGTAGATCTACGTCATGAGCTCAGCTCACTCTGATAAACTGTGAGTGGTACATTTGGGCCTAGATATGAGAGAATACATCTATGAGGTATGTGTGCACCACATAAAACAGATCCTGCAGCACACTGTGTATAATGAGAGAAAAAACTGAAATCATGATTTTTCGATTAAAACAGCAACTTTGCAGTGTTTTTTTGTATGTTTTTTATAGTTGTATTTGCGATTTCTTGGTCTCACTTGATAGAATGGAAGACATATTACAGAAATAGAGATGATTTTGATTGGTTTTAGCACTGGAAATGGCTTGAAACTGAGCTTAAAGTAGCAGAAATGTTAAATTTTTGCCGATATTCAAGAGTAAACAAACGACCTCACACGTCTAATACACGCCAGCTGGTGGGTCTAATATGCATTCACAAATATGGTGATGATATTTATACAATTATTACAGTATTGCATAACAGTAAATCTTCTATTTTTTGGTGTGAATAAAAATTCATTATGTGAATAAAAAATCAAAATGGAATTTATTTGTAAAGCCTCAAAACGTAACTAATGAACAGAGGAAATGTTAGTTTAGTTCCAGGAATACCTACATTGTTTATTCTGGACCTTATTTTGAAATTGGAATATTTTGAACTTTGTGTTAAATTGGCCAAATTAACAATTTCCGATCACTTTAATTTGTAGTTGAAACAGTTGACTTGGTGATTTCTTGTGCTCAATCGATAGAATAGAAGTAATACTAGTGAAATAGCTAAGAATTTGGTTGACTGGAATAATGTAATTGGCCTAAAATGGGAGTCAAAGTCGGCAAAATCGCCGATTCGTAAATATCGCTGACACATCAAAATTCGTGAGAGCATAATTTCGTCAATTTTCCGTCAAATTTCGTACTTTTTCTTTTATTACCTTCACAAAAAGATTCTCTACCATTTCATAAGAAAAAATAACAAATTTTTTTTTTTAAAATTCTTGGACACTGGGGCACCACTTCAGATTTGGGCCTTGGACCCTGAAGGGGTTAACCCTTTCAGGGTCCAAGGCCCAAATCTGGAGTCACGCACCAGTGTCCAAGAATTTTCAAAAAAAAAAAATTTGTTATTTTTTCTTTTGAAATCGTAGAGAATCTTTTTGTGAAGGTAATAAAACAAAAAGTACAAAATTTTGGGTGGAAAATTGACGAAATTATGCCCTCGCGAATTTTGATGTGTCAGCGATATTTACGAATCGGCGATTTTGCCGACTTTGACTCTGATTTTAGGCCAATTACATTACTCCAATCAACCAAATTCTTAGCTATTTCACTAGTATTACTTCTATTCTATCGATTGAGCACAAGAAATCGCCAAGTCAACTGTTTCAACTACAAAATAAAGTGATCGGAAATTGTTAATTTGGCCAATTTAACACAAAGTTCAAAATATTCCAATTTCAAAATAGGGTCCAGAATGAACAATGTAGGCATTCCTGGCACTAAACTAACATTTCCTCTGTTCATTAGTTATGTTTTGAGGCTTTACAAATAAATTCCATTTTGATTTTTTATTCACATAATGAATTTTATTCACACCAAAAAATAGAAGATTTACTGTTATGCAATACTGTAATAATTGTATAAAAATCATCACCATATTTGTGAATGTATATTAGACCCACCAGCTGACGTGTATTAGACGTGTGAGGTCGTTTGTTTACTCCTGAATATCGGCAAAAATTTAACTTTTGCACTACTTTGAGCTCAGTTTCAAGCCATTTCCAATGCTAAAACCAATCAAAATCATCTCTATTTCTGTAATATGTCTTCCATTCTATCAAATGAGACCAAGAAATCGCAAATACAACTATAAAAAACATACGAAAAAACACTGCGAAGTTGCTGTTTTAATCGAAAAAATATTGATTTCATTTTTTTTTCTCTCATTATACACAGTGTGCTGCAGGATCTGTTTTATGTGGTGCACACATACCACATAGATGTATTCTCTCATATCTAGGCCCAAATGTACCACTCACAGTTTATCAGACTGAGCTGAGCTCATGGCGTAGATCTACGGTTTGGACCCTGAACGTAAAGCCGTAGATCTACGGGACGGACCCTGAAAGGGTTAAGACTACAAATATTTTAAGGTAAGTAATGAGTGAACTGTATATGCATTTTATCGCTCTGGGACGCTTAAATGTCATAGAATATTATGTGTGGGTGGAATGGCCTGGTATGGTAGCCTGGCTGGGTACCATACATACCACATTGATTTCTTACAATAAATACTACTCATCTCACCCCACATTAGGACTACAAATATTGAGTAATGAGTGTAGTATGTGTATTTTAGTTTTCTATTATTTTTTAATGCCTAGTTCTACTGCTAATTTAATATATGTTAGTGTAAACTTGTTATCTAATATTTGTATGCATTTATAAGTGGAAAAAAAGGGTGTTCCACTTTACGGCAATTTCTGCTTTACAGCGATAGCCTGGAACCTAACCTGCCATATAAGTGGGGCCCTACTGTAATTATAAAGCAACTAGCTTTCTGAATCCATTCCACGAATCTATTATTATGTTATCCTGAGTTTTCTAAGAGCCACTACTATATTATTCTGGTCTTACAGAGCAAGCAGGAACAAACTTGTCTGTGGAAAAAAAAAAAGCCAATAATTTGTTTGTTAATTTGTCAACTAAGCTTGGCATATCATGCATTTTTGTTGGCTTTCAAATGAGCCACTATTCATTATGTTCAGTGCTTTCACTGCTTGTGAGGAAAAAGTTCAATAGATAGGAGTAGCAAGGGAGTATATAGTAACAATAGTTTCATTGCCGGCTACTTGTTAAGGTAGGGTAAGTCAAGCTCCCGCTATCCCTTCCCCTCCTTCTCCCCCCCCCCGAAAGGTGACGTGTGGGGCTCCGGTCCAAACAGTAATCACTAGACTCACAGCTCCCAGCACTACTGTAAGTACATGCCTGCCTTGTATTCTAGTGGATTTATTGGTTGAAAGCTTCACTTTTGACCAATAATAAACTTAGTCCTTTCAGTCTTGCTCTAAGTTGACTGTTGTAATAATCACCACATCTTTTAGGTATTGTACTTATCATGGAGAGTGATTTCTTAAGCAGTAGGTAACCTGTCTATCTTTCCAGCTTGGATGACAGAAAGGGTCACCTGCCAATCAATGTGTAGAACTGATGGAGATGGACTAACGTTCTGAGACTTCCCCTTTTTGGATTTAATTACCTGTGCACCTGTATGAAATTGCAGGACGTAACCCCTAATCATTGCAGTGGTAAAGAACCTGCTTTCCTGTCATCGGGATATAATGCTCACGGCTATACTGTGAAGAACGAACCGGAGGGTTGTAACCAACACCTGCGACCCCCCCCCCAATCATCAGCAATGGTTACGATTTCAACAACACACAGGAGGGGTGTTAATGTTGCAGTTTAAAAACTGTAGTGTAAATTCATCCTTCTGGCAAGACAGTGATGGAGTGAATGATGGTGAAAGTTTTTCTTTTTCGGGCCACCCTGCCTTGGTGGGAATTGGCCAGTGTGATAATAAAAAAATAAAAACAGTGTCACCAACACCAGACACCCAAGTTTTAAATTAGCGTTGAATTCAGTTATCGTTTATATTTTTCATTTTCTTTAATGTAGGATTAATATTTCATGTTTAAGTGTTTTATATTTTATATTTTCTATATAATAAAGTGTTTATGTTTGTCTGTTATTATTTCTTTTTCTATTCATTAATTTTCCTGAGGAGGAGCCAGCCTTGGTAATACTGTCTGAAGTTGTTACAGGGCTGAGTAAGCCTTCACACTGCTTTTCTACCGTTTTTGTACAACGGTTGCGCAAGGGAACGGCAATTGGTGTCGTATTTTAAGATAAGTATTGTATGCACTGTGTTCTTATTTTACTTTTTTACCTTTTTTTTATGCCTAGCTGTATTTAGCACTTAATGTATGATAGTGTAAATACGTCATCAGGTATTTCATGTGCATTCGATTATGAAAAAAATGTTCTTTTCCACCTAACCATGATTTTTATTTACTGTACAGGATTGGGAACCCAAGAGCTGTACCAACGGGGCCCTCCTGCATAGTGTTTACATTCACCACCTCTTTATCCAGTACAGGGATGCATTACTTTTTATTAGTCATCAACTACCATATTAATGGCTGAAAAGTAAGATATGCAATGTACAGTTTATAAACCAAGTAAACCAGATAGAAAGTATGCAAATTAGTTGCAGCTGAATTTATTTTTATGCAAGACACTGTGGGTCTATAATTGTGCCACTTTGGGGCTGCAGGTTGTGCATTGCTGATTCTAGTAAAATTCCTTTACTCGGCATCCTAGGTGCTTCCTAACATCCCAATGGCTCATATGCATCTTTAACTGCCATCTCTGTCCCATGGCTCCCTGTCCTAACATCTCAAATTGATTGTCTCTATCCACTTCATATAATTCTCTGAGTATTTTATTGATAATGATCATGTCCCCCTGATTCTGCCCTCTTCTTGTCTGTTTGTTCAAGGAAGTCAGCTGCATCAATTACTTTTAAAAAACTTACTGTAAAGTATTGAAGTAAGCCTTAAGCTCCTGACGATCACACTTGTGCCAATTTGCCTTGTATCCAAGTAAAACAGTGTTAGGTCGTAATTTGCCTAAGCCAACAAGCTGAAACAAATACAAAAATTACATAAACAGGCATACAAAAAAAAAAGATTAATTTCTCTAATTTTGCACTGTTCTCTGAATAAGAATAAGGCTGAAAAAATAATTTAAAAACCTCCACAGACTTTAAAAAGATAATAATCAACATGGATTTAAAACTCTTCTTAAATGTTAGACCTATTTTATAACATATGAACTACAGTAATTTTCAAAGTCTTATAACATATCAATTTGCACACTTACAGAGGCACAGTCCCTGGACCAATTATGTGCTAGTGTGGTCTTTTGCCTATTGTAAAAATGTTGATAATTACCTGAAACAAGTTTCTAGCTCCTTCTTCTAAGTTATTTCCTTCAACCACTGAATAGAATGCACGAATCTTGTGACGCTGAAGCCATCTGTAGGCTTGCCTGATAAGTGAATTTCGTACACGTTGTGTCTGAGGGCCCTGCAAGTAAAGAAAATAGGAAAGGTAATTTGGAGGGAAGGATGGGTAGGGGTCATCATAAGAAAGGATGGAGTAAAAGAGATTTTGTGTGCAAGGGGCTTGGACATACAGCAGGGATGTATGAAAGTATTAGAAAGGAGTGAGTGGAGATGAATGGTTTTTGGAACTTGACGAGCTGTTGGAGTGTGAGTAGGGCAACATTTTGTGAAGGGATTCAGGGAAACTGGTTAGCCAGACTTGAATCCTGGAGGTGGGAAATACAATGCCTGCACTTTAAAGGAAGGGTTTGGGGTATTTGCTGTTTGGAGTGATATCTGAACTGTCGTAGCTGTGCCCCTCTGGCAAGACAGTGATAGTGTGAATGATGGAGAAAGTGTTTCTTTTTTAGGTCACCCTGTCTTGGTGGGAGACGACCAGTTTCTTAAAAAAAAAAAAAATTCCCCATCCTAGAGGAAGAAGAAAAAAGTAACCATCCTTAAACAGATCAGTAAACTAGTTAAATGCCACTACCAAATGATTCTGTCTCCCTTCCCTTTAGCACTTCTCTGTGATTAGTTAATGGTCCAAGTCGGACTGAAACATTGTCATAAGTTGAAGTCTCCTAAGTGTGGGTTACTTAAGTATAGGTCAAATGCTCTAGGGAATGGGGGCCTCATGTGTAAGACCAATGTCATCATAAATTCTCTCATTTCTCTTGGCAAACAAAATATCACCTTAAAGTGACATGAAGGACCACTTGTAGCATATTCTATAAAGCATTTGATGAGAATTAATGCCCAACTGGAATATTTACTGACCGACAGAAATCCTTTGACACTGTTGATTATAACAACCTCCTCTAAAAGAGATTATGGTCAATAACATCCACCTAAGAGTAGGAATGACTCAGAGATCACTACTACTACTATTATATCAACTCTTGCTTAAATATTAGGCTCCAACAAGTAAATATAAATGACACTGTTCAACTCTATTAAATAAATATTGTCTCCTAAGGCAGCAATCTAGGCCCTCTCTTCTTTTTCTTCCATATAAATGACCTACCAAATGCCACCCAAAAATTCAAACTAATACTCTTTGCTGATGACACTATTTTTGTCTCTGCAAATCCCAACAATACTGCCATAAATAAAACAATAAATGATTAACTATAAAGTATCCATGCATGAATGTCAGCCAACAAACTTGCACTTAGTTTGGAAAAGATCTACTACATGTTTCACAATAAAATGTCCATCCAACCAAATAAACATCAAAATGGAGATTACAAGGGAACACAGAAAAAAGCAAGGTGATGAGGGTAACAAACGAGCAGATATCAGATTAGAAGAAGGGAGCAGGGAGGAAATGAATGTGTTCAGATATTTTGGAGTGGACTTGTCGGTGGATGGATATATGAATAACGAGGAGAAATACAGAACTGATATATAAAAAAGGTGGGTAGTGGATTGAGGCATCTGTGGAAACATTATCCATGGAGGCAAAAAGGGGAATGTATGAGAGTATAGTAGTACCAACACTCTTACATGGATGTGAAGCAAGGGCTGTGAATGTTGCAGCAAGGAGAAGGCTGAAGGCAGTGGAGATGTCCTGTCTGAGGGCAATGTGTGGTGTAAATATTATGTAGAAAATTTGTAGCTTGGAAATTAGAAGGTGCGAGGCTACTTAAAGTATTATGCAGAAGGCTTAGCAGGGGTTGTTGAGGTGGTTTGGACATTCTGAGAGGGTGGAAAAGAAGAGGATGATTTGAAGCAGCAGATGTTGCAAGTGTATGGAGTAAGTGGTAAGTTACCAAATGCTTAAAGAGCTTTTATGAGGATAGTAAAGCTCAGGTTAGGGTGTGTAGGAGAGAGGGAGATTATTTTCCAGTAAAAGTAGGCCTTAGACAGGGATGTGTAATGTCACCATGGCTGTTTAACATATTTATAGATGCAGTAGTAAAAGAAGTAAATGCATGAAACAAAATAGACTTACTCTCCTTAACTGTAATCCTTTCAAACACTAAATGACTGTAAACATGAAATTCCTAAAATTGTTATTGCCTTCTTAATCTTAAGTTAGTCTTAAGTTTGCCTGTAATACTCTGCTATATAGAGGCTTTCAACTTTGTAAAATCATTGTAGTATACCAAAATAAAACCATTCCCACTACTAAATTATACTAATTGTAATACTATTTTTTTTGCTACCTCACTATTATGAATCTTATTATCATAAAATTCCTGATTACCTAACTTTTGTAATAATGTGAACTGAATAGTATTAAAATGTACCACTCCATAACTGGTATAAATATAGAATAATCAGCAAGAATCAGGATTAGTCTGCCCGAAATGCCTAGGCATGCTAGTGGCTTTCTTTGTACTTTATATTTTGTAATATTAAACCTCACATTGTAAACTTTACAAAAATATAAAAATTTAGAATTTTGAACATTCATTTAAGCATACCGGTGATTTAATCAATAAAATTATGTCAATAAATATGAATAAAAAAATGGAGAGTTGTGATAATTTTAACACTGTTCAATATACACACAGAATGGAAGATAAAATATTGTGAAATGTATCATTTGTAGTGATTATGACACAGTATATATAGTTAAGAGTCTGAGGTGCTGACTAAACTTTCAATATGAATGCTGCACCTGCTGACCACTGACTGGTAACTAGGCATGCCATTAATTAAAATGTTGTAAACTTAACCCGTAAACGGTACAAACGTATATATCCGTTCTTACTGCTAGTGCCCCAAACGTGGCACTATGTAAACATCTATACTCTGTTATTCTTGAGAAAATCATCATGGTGAAATATTTAACCCTTTCAGGGTCCACAGGCCCTCTCAGAGACTTGTTCTCAGGGTCCCCCAAATTTCAAAAAAAAAAAAAAAAAAAAAAATTATTATTTTTTCTTATAAAAAGATAGAGAATCTTTTCCCAATCATAATGACACCAAAAGTATGAAATTTGATGGAAAACTTACGGAATTATGCTCTCGCGAAGTTTGTGGTCTCGACGATGTTTACGCATCGGCGATTTTGCCCACTTTGAGCCCTATTTTTGGCCAATTCCAATGTACTAGTCAACAAAAATCATAGTTAATTTGCTAGAACTCCATTTTTTCTATCGAATGAGTACAAGAAACCACCAATTTACCGATTTCAACTATCCAATACAGTGGTCAGAATTTAGCAATTTTGCCAATTTCACACAAATTTCAAAAGATGCCAATTTCCAAATAGGGTTCAGAATAAACACGAAAGACATTCCTGGCACTAAAATAACATTTCCTCTGTTCATTAGTCACATCCCCACACCCCTCTTACATTCGTTTGCTTTCCACTTTGAATTTTTATTCTCACAAAAAATAGAAGATTTACTGTTATGCAGACTACTACATTAGTGTGGAAATGGTATAAATAATATCGGCACACTTGTGAAAGAATATCAGACTCACCAGTTGACGTGTATTGGATGCTTAGCATGATTTGTTTACTTTTGAACTTTGGTAAAAATCGAACATTTCTGCTTATTTGAGCTCAATTTCAAGGTACTTTTCATTGTAAAACCAGTCAAAATTATCTCAATTTCTGTAATATGTCTTCCATTCTACACAATGAGACCAGGAAAACTAGAATACAACAATAAATACCATACGAAAATACAGTGTAAAGTCGCTGTTTTAATCCAAAAACACGGTCAAAGTTTTTTTTTCTCATTATGCACTGCGTGCTGCAGGATTTTTTTTATACTGTGCACACTGACCACATAGACCCATTCTTTCATATGTAGGCCTACCAGCTTTCTCTCACTAGATTTGAAGACGCTAGAATTTATGAGTACTAGTACATCATGGACTCTGGTGCGTAAGCCGTACTAGTTTGGCCAAAACCCTGAAAGGGTTAATAAACTGACGGTGCCTGCTATGCATTCAATATAGTATATGCTCTCTACTATATAAGTATTTTCAATTATATACCTGGATCACATGGCCACATGCAAGTAATGAGATGTTCTTGGTGATACTTTGAGCAAAGTCTAGGAGGGGTGGTCTCGATCCAGGTGAACCAGTGAGTACCAACAACTGCGGACGGAAGTTTTTAACGTGCTCTTCAACTGTGTTCAGGTCCAGAGTTGTCTTGAGAGCAGAGACGTATGTCTGTGCTTGAGTAGATGATCCCCAGTTCACATCTATTGAGAGAACAAGGAAGATTTCATTTATGTATTACCATAAATATTTATTTACAGTACAATATCTGAAAAATCTTTATATAAACAGGATTTTATCAAATATCCCAATGTTATTTATGATGTTAGTGAGGACTAACCTGGGTTCTGTAGGATAAGAACGAATTACTTGCAAGGACACACGGGAAGGTGAGAGAGCAGTGGACCAGTCACTAAAAACATTATGCCAAGCGAAATACCACCAAGTAGATCTCACCTAAAACGGGGTTTATACTGAAAAAAACATATTGATAAAGTCAGAGATTTAGAGAAGTTTTAGTAGGGTTTTATTACTGAAAGAATTAGAGGGTAAGACAGAATGCAGAACTGCAGATGAACAAGGGAGTCTTTAGAATGGCGTGGGGATGTGGAAGATCATGTGTTTACAATGAAGCATAAAAAATGTCTTTTGTCTGTCTCATAAATATGCAAGATTACAGGTACGTCTTGCTACTTCTACTTACACTTAGGTCACACTACACATACATGTACACGTTTTATTTATACACACTCATCTGAGTTTTCTTTGATTTTATCTTAATAGTTCTTGGTCTTATTACTTTTCCTTTTATATCCATGGGGAAGTGGAATAAGAATCTTTCCTCCGTAAGCCATGCGTGTTGTAAAAGTCAACTAAAATGCCGGGAACAATGGGCTAGTAACCCCTTTTCCTGTAAAGATTACTAAAAAGAATAAGAAGAAGAAAATTGTCAAAGTGGGAAGTCTGAATGTGCGTGGATGTTGTGCAAATGATAAGAAAGAGATGATTGTGGATGTTATGAATGAGAAGAAACTGGATGTCCTGGCTTTAAGTGAAACAAAGCTGAACGGGGTGGGAGAGTTTCAATGGAGAGGAATAAATGGGATTAGGTCAGGGGTTTCAAATAGAGTTAGAGCTAAAGAAGAGTAGCAATAATGTTGAAGGATAAGCTATGGCAGGAAAAGAGGGACTACAAATGCATAAATTCAAGGATTATGTGGAGTAAAATAAAGATTGGATGTGAAAAGTGGGTTATAGTAAGCGTGTATGCACCTGGAGAAGAAAGAAGTGTAGAGGAGAGAGAGAGATTCTGGGAAATGTTGAGTGAATGCGTGGGGAGTTTTGAATCAAGTGTGAGAGTAATGGTGGTTGGGGATTTCAATGCTAAAGTGGGTAAAAATGTTATGGAGGGAGTAGTAGGTAAATTTGGGGTGCCAGGGGTAAATGTAAATGGGGAGCCTTTAATTGAGCTATGTGTAGAAAGAAATTTGGTAATAAGTAATACATATTTTATGAAAAAGAGGATAAATTAAATATACAAGGTATGATGTAGCACGTAATGAAAGTAGTTTGTTAGATTATGTATTGGTGGATAAAAGGTTGATGGGTAGGCTCCAGGATGTACATGTTTATAGAGGGGCAACTGATATGTCAGATCATTATTTAGTTGTAGCTACAGTTAGAGTAAGAGGTAGATGGGAAAAGAGGAAGGTGGCAACAACAAGTAAGAGGGAGGTGAAAGTGTATAAACTAAGGGAGGAGGAAGTTCGGGCGAGATATAAGCGACTATTGGCAGTGCAAAGATGAGTAGTGGGGGGATTGAAGAGGGTTGGAATAGTTTTAAAAATGCAGTATTAGAATGTGGGGCAGAAGTTTGTGGTTATAGGAGGGTGGGGGCAGGAGAAAAGAGGAGTGATTGGTGGAATGATGAAGTAAAGGGTGTGATAAAAGAGAAAAAGGTAGCTTACGAGAGGTTTTTACAAAGCAGAAGTGTTATAAAAAGAGCAGAGTATATGGAGAGTAAAAGAAATGTGAAGAGAGTGGTGAGAGAGTGCAAAAGGAGAGCAGATGAAAGAGTGGGAGAGGCACTGTCAAGAAATTTTAATGAAAATAAGAAAAAATTTTGGAGTGAGTTAAACAAGTTAAGAAAGCCTAGGGAAAGTATGGATTTGTCCATTAAAAACAGAGTAGGGGAGTTAGTAGATGGGGAGAGGGAGGTATTAGGTAGATGGCGAGAATATTTTGAGGAACTTTTAAATGTTGAGGAAGAAAGGGAGGCGGTAATTTCATGCACTGGCCAGGGAGGTATACCATCTTTTAGGAGTGAAGAAGAGCAGAATGTAAGTGTGGTGGAAGTACGTGAGGCATTACGTAGAATGAAAGGGGGTAAAGCAGCTGGAACTGATGGGATCATGACAGAAATGTTAAATGCAGGGGGGGATATAGTGTTGGAGTGGTTGGTACTTTTGTTTAATAAATGTATGAAAGAGGGGAAGGTACCTAGGGATTGGCGGAGAGCATGTATAGTCCCTTTATATAAAGGGAAAGGGGACAAAAGAGATTGTAAAAATTATAGAGGAATAAGTTTACTGAGTATACCAGGAAAAGTATACAGTAGAGTTATAATTGAAAGAATTAGAGGTAAGACAGAATGTAGAATTGCGGATGAGCAAGGAGGCTTCAGAGTGGGTAGGGGATGTGTAGATCAAGTGTTTACATTGAAGCATATATGTGAACAGTATTTAGATAAAGGTAGGGAAGTTTTTATTGCATTTATGGATTTAGAAAAGGCATATGATAGAGTGGATAGAGGAGCAATGTGGCAGATGTTGCAAGTTTATGGAATAGGTGGTAAGTTATTAACCCTTTCAGGGTCCAAGGCCAAAATCTGAAGTCACGCACCAGTGTCCAAGAATTTAAAAAAAAAAATTTGTTATTTTTTCTTATGAAATCGTAGAGAATCTTTTTGTGAAGGTAATAAAACAAAAAGTACGAAATTTGGTGGAAAATTGACGAAATTATGCTCTCGCGAATTTTGATGTGTCAGCGATATTTATGAATTGGCGATTTTGCCGACTTTGACTCCCATTTTAGGCCAATTACATTATTCCAATCAACCAAATTCTTAGCTATTTCACTAGTATTACTTCTATTCTATCGATTGAGCACAAGAAATCGCCAAGTCAACTGTTTCAACTACAAAATAAAGTGATCAGAAATTGTTAATTTGGCCAATTTAACACAAAGTTCAAAATATTCCAATTTCAAAATAGGCTCCAGAATAAACAATGTAGGTATTCCTGGAACTAAACTAACATTTCCTCTGTTCATTAGTTACATTTTGAGGCTTTACAAATAAATTCCATTTTGATTTTTATTCACATAATGAATTTTTATTCACACCAAAAAATAGAAGATTTACTGTTATGCAATACTGTAATAATTGTATAAATATCATCACCATATTTGTGAATGTATATTAGACCCACCAGCTGACGTGTATTAGATGTGTGAGGTCGTTTGTTTACTCTTGAATATCGGCAAAAATTTAACATTTCCGCTACTTTGAGCTCAGTTTCAAGCCATTTCCAGTGCTAAAACCAATCAAAATCATCTCTATTTCTGTAATATGTCTTCCATTCTATCAAATGAGACCAAGAAATCGCAAATACAACTATAAAAAACATACGAAAAAAACACTGCAAAGTCGCTGTTTTAATCGAAAAATCATGATTTCAGTTTTTTTCTCTCATTATACACAGTGTGCTGCAGGATCTGTTTTATGTGGTGCACATATACCACAAAGATGTATTCTCTCATATCTAGGCCCAAATGTACCACTCACAGTTTATCAGAGTGAGCTGAGCTCATGGCATAGATCTACGGTTTGGACACTCACCGTAAACCCGTAGATTTTACAGGACGGACCCTAAAAGGGGTTTTAAATGCTGTAAAGAGCTTTTATGAGGATAGTGAGGCTCAGGTTAGGGTGAGTAGAAGAGAGGGAGAATACTTCCCGGTAAAAGTAGGTCTTAGACAGGGATGTGTAATGTCACCATGGTTGTTTAATATATTTATAGATGGGGTTGTAAAAGTAAATGCTAGGGTGTTCGGGAGAGGGGTGGGATTAAATTATGGGGAATCAAATTCAAATGGGAATTGACACAGTTACTTTTTGCAGATGATACTGTGCTTATGGGAGATTCTAAAGAAAAATTGCAAAGGTTAGTGGATGAGTTTGAGAATGTTGTAAAGGTAGAAAGTTGAAAGTGAAACATAAGAAAAGAGTAAGGTGATGAGGGTATCAAATGATTTAGATGAAGAAAAATTGGATATCAAATTGGGGAGGAGGAGTATGGAAGAAGTGAATGTTTCCAGATACTTGGGAGTTGACGTGTCGGCGGATGGATTTATGAAGGATGAGGTTAATCATAGAATTGATGGGGGAAAAAAGGTGAGTGGTGCGTTGAGGTATATGTGGAGTAAAAAAACGTTATCTATGGAGGCAAAGAAGGGAATGTATGAAAGTATAGTAGTACCAACACTCTTATATGGATGTGAAGCTTGGGTGGTAAATGCAGCAGTGAGGAGACGGTTGGAGGCAAGTGGAGATGTCCTGTCTAAGGGCAATGTGTGGTGTAAATATTATGCAGAAAATTCGGAGTGTGGAAATTAGGAAGGTGTGGAGTTAATAAAAGCATTAGTCAGAGGGCAGAAGGGGTTGTTGAGGTGGTTTGGTCATTTAGAGAGAATGGATCAAAGTAGAATGACATGGAAAGCATATAAATCTATAGGGGAAGGAAAGAGGGGTAGGGGTCGTCCTCGAAAGGGTTGGAAAGAGGGGTAAAGGAGGTTTTGTGGGCGAGGGGCTTGGACTTCCAGCAAGCGTGCATGAGCGTGTTAGATAGGAGTGAATGGAGACGAATGATACTTGGGACCTGACGATCTGTTTGGAGTGTGAGCAGGGTAATATTTAGTGAAGGGATTCAGGGAAACCGGTTTTTTTTCATATAGTCGGACTTGAGTCCTGGAAATGGGAAGTACAATGCCTGCACTTTAAAGGAGGGGTTTGGGATATTGGCAGTTTGGAGGGATATGTTGTGTATCTTTATACGTATATGCTTCTAAACTGTTGTATTCTGAGCACCTCTGCAAAAGCAGTGATAATGTGTGAGTGTGGTGAAAGTGTTGAATGATGATGAAAGTATTTTCTTTTTGGGGATTTTCTTTCTTTTTTGGGTCACCCTGCCTCGGTGGGAGACGACCGACTTGTTGAAAAAAAAAAAAAAAAATTTAGATAAAGCCTAGGTAGTAGGTTGGTAGACAGCAACTGCCCAGGGAGGTACTCCCGTCCTGCCAAGTGAATGTAAAATGGAAGCCTGTAATTGTTTTACATGATGGCAGGATTGCTGGTGTCCCTTTTTCTGTCTCATAAACATGCAAGATTTCAGGTACATCTTGCTACTTCTACTTACACTTAGGTCACACTACACATACATGTACAAGCATATACAGTGGACCCCCGCCTTACGATATAATTTCATTCCAGAAGTATGTTCAGGTGCCGTTACCGAATGAATTTGATCCCATAAGGAATATTGTGAATTAGATTAGTCCGTTTCAGATCCCCAAAAATACATGTACAAAAGCACTTACATAAATACACTTACATAACTTGTCGCATTGGAAGCTGATCGTAAGGCGGGAGTCCACTGTATATACGTACCCCTCTGGGTTTTCTTTTATTTTCTTTCTAGTTCTTGTTCTTGTTTATTTCCTCTTATTTCCATGGGGAAGTGGAACAGAATTCTTCCTCAGTAAACTATGCGTGTCGTAAGAAGCGACTAAAATGCCGGGAGCAAGGGGCTAGTAACCCCTTCTCCTGTATATATTACTAAATTTAAAAGGAGAAACTTTCGTTTGTCCTTTTGGGCCACCCCACCTCAGTGGGATATGGCTGGTGCATGAAAGAAAGATTTAAATAAAGGTAGGGATGCTTTCATTGCATTCATGGATTTAGAAAAGGCATATAATGGTGTGGACAGTGGAGCAATGAGTGTGGAATAGATAGTAAGTTACTAAATGCTGCAAAGAGCTTTTATGAGGACAGTGAGGCTCGGGTTAGGGTGTGTAGGAAAGAGGGAGATGACTTTCCAGTAAAAGTAGGTCTTAGACAGGGATGTGTAATGTCACCATTGTTGTTTAACATATTTATAGACGTAGTAGTAAAAGAAGGAAATACTAGGGTGTTGGGGAGAGGGGTAGGTTTAAATTATGGGAGATCAAATACAAAAGGGGAGTTGACACAGTTACTTTTTGCTGATGATACTGTGTTCCTGGGAGATTCTAAGGAAAAGTTGCAAAGGTTAGTGGACAAGTTTGGTAGGGTGTATAAAGGTAGAAAATTGAAAGTGAACATAGATAAGAGTAAGGTGATGAGGGTATCAAACAATTTAGATATAAAAAAATTAGATATCACATTTTAGAGAGGGAGTATGGAAGAAATGAATGCTTTCAGATATTTGGGAGTTGACTTGTCAGCAGATGGGTTTATGAAGGATGAGGTTAATCATAGAATTGATGAAAGAAAAAAGGTGAGTGGTGCACTGAGGTATCGTGGAGACAAAAAACATTATCAATGGATGGCAAAGAAGGGAATGTACGAAAGCAATAGTGGCACCAGCACTCCTCGAAAAGGTTGGAGGAGGGGGTAGATGAGGTTTTGTGGGTGAGGGGCTTGGACTTCCAGCAAGCATGCATGAGTGTGTTAGATAGGAGTGAATGGAGAAGAATGGTTTTTGGGACCTGATGAGCTGTTGGAGTGTGAACAGGGTAATATTTTGTGAAGGGATTCAGGGAAACCAGTTAGCCGGACTTGAGTCCTGGAAATGGGAAGTACAATGCCTGCACTTTAAAGGAGGGGTTTGGGATATTGGTTGTTTGGAGTGACATCTAAACTGTTATATCTGAGTTCCTCTGCAAAGACAGTGATTATGTATGAAAGATGGTGAAAATGTTGAATGATGAAAGTTTCTTTCTTTCTTTCTGGGTTATTCTTTCTTTTTGGGTCACCCTGTCTCGGTGGGAAATGGCAGTGCTAAAAAAAGAATTATAGCTATATTATATCTGTGAATTCCTTACAATGTAAAAAAAGGTATGGAACATGAGCTTACTTAATAATTTACCTTAGTAGAAGAGCACAGGGCATATATGTAGGGTTTGTTCCTAAAACTGTTTTAGAGTAACTGAGACAAAACAGTGGTGTACAATGTCTAATACACAAATGAGTCACAGGAATAATAAAAATTATTTCCTTGACATGTTGTGAAGTGAGCTATAAAACCATGCAAACAGGATCCATATAAGGGGTTTAAAAATCATGTTAAAAGTAAAAAAGTGGGACCAAGAGCTAGAGCATACACTTTGCCAACCCAAATAGTTAATTACATCACCTTGAAAACCTGAGTGAATGGAGGCATGTTTTCATCTCAAAAACATCAAAACTTTAACACCAGTTTGTATTCCAGTGCCAAGCATAAGATGGAAGATCTACCAAAATACACAATCTTCAGGAGAGGCATCAAACCAATCAAAATAGTGGAAAATCCTCACCAACTAATAATAAAGAATTACAGCATTTTGTTTTAAAGAATGTAAAGCTACTTTCTATGTAGGATATAATGAATGTTTATAGAAATACAAGAGTATCAAACATATGTATCATGAGTATCAAACATCTGTTTATGAATGTTTGTCCCAACTATTATAAGAGGTGAAAACAAACTATCAACCAACCTTGAATCCAGGACGCCAACCAGGAGATTTGATAAGTGATGCATGGAAGCAGGAGAAGTTAATAAGACTGTATGATGCCAGGAAGAAGTTACTCAGCAAAGTTGATACTAAATTCAGGTCACCTGTTGAAAGATTTAATGATGTGACATAATACTGAACAGAATATATGAACAAAGAATTATTCTATTTTTACACAAACTGTTGCATGACTTTAGATTTCAAAATTATTCCTGCAATTTTAGACAAAATGATTAACACTATATATTTCACAAATTCATGTATAATTCAGAGTCAACCTTTGTCTGTTTTATGCAATGCATACAACACAATATAGCCATTTTTTTTTTTTTTTCAACAAGTCGGCCGTCTCCCACCGAGGCAGGGTGACCCAAAAAAAGAAAGAAAATCCCCAAAAAGAAAATACTTTCATCATCATTCAACACTTTCACCACACTCGCACATTATCACTGTTTTTGCAGAGGTGCTCAGAATACAACAGTCTAGAAGCATACACATATAAAGATACACAACATATCCCTCCAAACTGCCAATATCCCAAACCCCTCGTTTAAAGTGCAGGCATTGTACTTCCCATTTCCAGGACTCAAGTCCGACTATATGAAAATAACCGGTTTCCCTGAATCCCTTCACTAAATATTACCCTGCTCACACTCCAACAGATCGTCAGATCCCAAGTACCATTCGTCTCCATTCACTCCTATCTAACACGCTCACGCACGCTTGCTGGAAGTCCAAGCCCTTGCCCACAAAACCTCCTTTACCCCCTCTCTCCAACCCTTTCGAGGACGACCCTACCCCGCCTTCCTTCCCCTATAGATTTATATGCTTTCCATGTCATTCTACTTTGATCCATTCTCTCTAAATGACCAAACCACCTCAACAACCCCTCTTCTGCCCTCTGACTAATACTTTTATTAACTCCACACCTTCTCCTAATTTCCACACTCCGAATTTTCTGCATAATATTTACACCACACATTGCCCTTAGACAGGACATCTCCACTGCCTCCAACCGTCTCCTCGCTGCTGCATTTACCACCCAAGCTTCACACCCATATAAGAGTGTTGGTACTACTATACTTTCATACATTCCCTTCTTTGCCTCCATAGATAACGTTTTTTGACTCCACATATACCTCAACGCACCACTCACCTTTTTTCCCTCATCAATTCTATGATTAACCTCATCCTTCATAAATCCATCCGCCGGACACGTCAACTCCCAAGTATCTGAAAACATTCACTTCTTCCATACTCCTCCTCCCCAATTTGATATCCAATTTTTCTTTATCTAAATCATTTGACACCCTCATCACCTTACTCTTTTCTATGTTCACTTTCAAACTTTCTACCTTTACACACATTCCCAAACTCATCCACTAACCTTTGCAATTTTTCTTTAGAATCTCCCATAAGCACAGTATCATCAGCAAAAAAGTAACTGTGTCAATTCCCATTTTGAATTTGATTCCCCAAAATTTAATCCCACCCCTCTCCCCGAACACCCTAGCATTTACTTCTTTTACAACCCCATCTATAAATATATTAAACAACCATGGTGACATTACACATCCCTGTCTAAGACCTACTTTTACCGGGAAGTAGTCTCCCTCTCTTCTACACACCCTAACCTGAGCCTCACTATCCTCATAAAACTCTACAGCATTTAATAACTTACCACCTATTCCATATACTTGCAACATCTGCCACATTGCTCCTCTATCCACTCTATCATATGCCTTTTCTAAATCCATAAATGCAATAAAAACTTCCCTATCTTTATCTAAATACTGTTCACATTATATGCTTCAATGTAAACACCTGATCTACACATCCCCTACCCACTCTGAAACCTCCTTGCTCATCCGCAATCCTACATTCTGTCTTACCTCTAATTCTTTCAATTATAACCCTACCGTACACTTTTCCTGGTATACTCAGTAAGCTTATTCCTCTATAATTTTACAGTCTCTTTTGTCCCCTTTCCCTTTATATAAAGGGACTATACATGCTCTCCGCCAATCCCTAGGTACCTTCCCCTCTTTCATACATTTATTAAACAAAAGTACCAACCACTCCAACACTATATCCCCCCCTGCTTTTAACATTTCTGTCATGATCCATCAGTTCCAGCTGCTTTACCCCCTTTCATTTACGTAATGCCTCACGTACCTCCCCCACACTTACATTCTGCTCTTCTTCACTCCTAAAAGATGGTATACCTCCCTGACCAGTGCATGAAATTACTGCCTCTGTTTCTTCCTTAACATTTAAAAGTTCCTCAAAATATTCTCGCCATCTACCCAATACCTCCATCTCCCATCTACTAACTCCCCTACTCTGTTTTTAACTGACAAATCCATATTTTTCCCTAGGCTTTCTTAACTTGTTTAACTCACTCCAAAATTTTTTCTTATTTTCATTAAAATTTCTTGACAGTGCCTCTCCCACTCTATCATCTGCTCTCTTTTTGCACTCTCTCACCACTCTCTTTACCTTTCTTTTACTCTCCATATACTCTGCTCTTCTTATAACACTTCTGCTTTGTAAAAACCTCTCATAAGCTACCTTTTTCTCTTTTATCACACCTTTACTTCATCATTCCACCAATCACTCCTCTTTCCTCCTGCCCCCACCCTCCTATAACCACAAACTTTCTGCCCACATTCTAATACTGCATTTTTAAAACTATTCCAACCCTCTTCAACCCCCCCACTACTCATCTTTGCACTAGCCCACCTTTCTGCCAATAGTCGCTTATATCTCACCCGAACTTCCTCCTCCCTTAGTTTATACACTTTCACCTCCCTCTTACTTGTTGTTGCCACCTTCCTCTTTTCCATCTACCTCTTACTCTAACTGTAGCTACAACTAAATAATGATCCGATATATCAGTTGCCCCTCTATAAACATGTACATCCTGGAGCCTACCCATCAACCTTTTATCCACCAATACATAATCTAATAAACTACTTTCATTACGTGCTACATCATACCTTGTATATTTATTTATCCTCTTTTTCATAAAATATGTATTACTTATTACCAAATTTCTTTCTACACATAGCTAAATTAAAGGCTCCCCATTTACATTTACCCCTGGCACCCAAATTTACCTACTACTCCCTCCATAACATTTTTCCCACTTTAGCATTGAAATCCCCAACCACCATTACTCTCACACTTGATTCAAAACTCCCCACGCATTCACTCAACATTTCCCAAAATCTCTCTCTCTCCTCTACACTTCTCTCTTCTCCAGGTGCATACACGCTTATTATAACCCACTTTTCACATCCAATCTTTATTTTACTCCACATAATCCTTGAATTAATACATTTATAGTCCCTCTTTTCCTGCCATAGCTTATCCTTCAACATTATTGCTACTCCTTCTTTAGCTCTAACTCTATTTGAAACCCCTGACCTAATCCCATTTATTCCTCTCCACTGAAACTCTCCCACCCCCTTCAGCTTTGTTTCACTTAAAGCCAGGACATCCAGCTTCTTCTCATTCATAACATCCACAATCATCTCTTTCTTATCATCTGCACAACATCCACGCACATTCAGACTTCCCACTTTGACAATTTTCTTCTTATTCTTTTTAGTAATCTTTACAGGAAAAGGGGTTACTAGCCCATTGTTCCCGGCATTTTAGTTATTTTGTTATCTACATGAAACTATTACAGGGCATAAAAAAAAATCCAAAAAACATTCAACTTGTTTTGTAACCTATCTACCAACAAAAATATAGGTTAAAAATATACATTACCAATTATGATGCATGCTAATGAGATGATAAACACAAGGATGTAACCACGAACAGGATCATTATTTGCACCAGATCCCTTTGAAAATCCATATATGCCAGGATAGAGTTTATCTTTAGCTAAGGCTTGTAAGACACGAGGAGCTCCAACTAGTGAAGCAATAGCTGAGGAGAGGGTGGCAGCAAAGCATCCAATATAGATCAGAGGACCCCAAGCTGACATTAGTTCCATAACCTGATGAATAAAAACAAAATTAAATGAATTATCATGAAAGATTTTATTCTAGCTTAAATAAAAAAGATTATTAATGTTGAGTATTAGGGATGTTTTAGTTCATGTCTATGCACATCTGGAAAAAACAGTTGGAGAATGAATGATGGTGAATGTGTTTCCTTCACTGGGTCACCCTGTTTTGGGTAAGAAATGGCTAATGTGTTCATGGTTTTTAACTCAATGGCTATCTCCAGCAAAGGTAGGTTGGCCCTCTCCTCTTTTTCATTTACATTTATGACCTACCAAATACATCACAACTACTCAAACCCATATTATTTGCAGATGACACAAGATATGTCTTCTCTCACCCAAACCCAGTCTTACTGGCCAACATTGTTAATGCTGAATTGCAGAAAATATCCACCTGGATGATGACTAACAAGCTTACAGTCAATACTGACAAAACCTTCTTCATTCAGTCTGGAAACAGAGCCACAAATGTTCCACTTAACATAGCACTAAACCGATCACCCATCACAAGACACAAAGGGAAAATTCCTAGGAATCCACCTTGACAGTAGCCTTAAATTCCAGACCCATATACAACAAATTTCCAAGAAAATCTCTTAGACAGTAGACATACTATCAAAGATACGGTACTATGTTCCACAATCAGCTCTCCTTGCACTGTATCACTCACTAGTCTCCCCCTATCTCACCTATGGAATTTGTGCATGGAGATCAACAACATCAAATCACCTACGACTACTAATAACCCAGTAAAGGCTGCAGTCAGATTGATAACAAATTCCCACTTCAGACAACATATTCCACCAATGTTCAAAAGTCTAAAACTACTCACTGTAAAGTACATCCATACTTATTCTTGTGCCTACTAGATACATAGAACACTACACTCAAACAAACTCTTTGCTCAAACTTCTCCTCACCAACCTTAACAGGACGCATGACCATAACACAAGACACAGATCACTTTTTGATGTACCCCGTGTCCACACCACACAATACAAGAACTATGCACATAAAGGGCCCCAAAATTTGGAACTCATTACCAGTAAATACTAAAGTAACCAGGTTTGAACATAAATTCAAGACTTCTCAAAAACCATCTACTCACCCTAAACTAAATATTCAATACTCAATACTGAAATTAAGATCTCCCAAGTACCTAAATCTTAACACTTCAAAATTTAAATACCCAAAGTTCATACATAACTTAATACTACATTGTAGTATAAATACCTGCACAAAACTATACTGCCTTAAACCATACTGTAGCATTCTCATGCTGTAAACTACTTTCACCAACACCCAATATTATTTTCCAATAATATAACTTAAATATTTACTATTGATATACACAACTTACAAAATACCTTCAAATTGTCCCAATGTAATATCCCCAGATTTTAACTTAAGTTAACTTAATGTCTGCTTTAAATAAAAAAAAAAGATATACAACTGAAACAAAATTTGATCTATTTCTCTAGTTTTAAGTAGTCTATAAGCCATTAATTTAGTCTGCCCGTAATGCCGTGGCATGATTGTGGCTCTCTTTGCCTACAGCTCATTATTGCAACTAAAGAATCTCAATGTTAACTTGCAAAGAAATAAAAATTGTATTTCATTATATTGTATAAAGAACAAAACACATTCATCAAGAGATAAATTAAATTTTCTAACCCAGGGAGAATAAGTGGGAATAGTTTTATATTAAGAAAGAAGAGGTGCCAAAATGGTACAGGATGTCTACAAATTTCACTTGTGATTTCCATTTTTTTACAACAAAATAATAATACATGTATATGAAAACAAAGTTTTCCGCATACGACAGTCAAACTAAGAGTTTTATACAGCTTCATGCTTGTCTAATCTAGGCAACCTCAACATGTATGGTTCTTGTGGCCAGTAATATTTAATAAATATTTCAGTTTATTCCACGTCCTGGCAACAACCATTTGGGGAGGTACTACCGTCCTACCAAGTGAGTGTAAAAAGGAAGCCTGTATTTGTTTTAAATGATGGTAGGATTGCTGGTGTCTTTTTTTCTGTCTCATAAACATGCAAGATTTCAGGTATGTCTTGCTACTTCTACTTACACTTAGGTCACACTACACATACATGTACAAGCATATATATACACACCCCTCTGGGTTTTCTTCTATTTTCTTTCTAGTTCTTATTCTTGTTTATTTCCCCTTATCTCCACGGGGAAGTGGAACAGAATTCTTCCTCCGTAAGCCATGCGTGTTGTAAGAGGCGACTAAAATGCCGGGAGCAAGGGGCTAGTAACCTCACTTCCTGTATATATTACTAAATGTAAAAGGAGAAACTTTCGTTTTCCTTTTGGGCCACCCCGCCTCGGTGGGATACAGCCGGTGTGTTGAAAGAAAGATGTAGTTCTTGTTCTTATTGCTTTTCATTTCATATCCATGGGGAAGTGGAATAAGAATCTTTCCTCCATAAGCCATGCGTTTTGTAAAAGTCAACTAAAATGCCAAAAACAATGGGCTAGTAACCCCTTTTCCCGTATAGTTTGCTAAAAAGAAAAAGAAGAAAACCGTCAAAGTGGGATGTTTGAATGTGCATGGATGTTGTGCGAATGATGAGAAAGAGATGATTGTGGATGTTATGAATGAGAAGAATCTGGATGTCCTGACTAAGTGAAACAAAGCTGAAGGGGATGGGAGTTTTTCAGTGGGGAGAAATAAATGGGATTAGGTTAGGGGTTTCAAATAGTTAGAAATAAAGAAGGAGTAGCAACAATGTTGAAGGATAAGTTATGGCAGGAAAAGAAGGAATATGAATGTATAAATTCAAGGATTATATGGTGTAAAATAAGGGTTGTGTGTGAAAAATGGGTTACAGTAAGTGTTTATACACCTGGAGAAGAGAGAGGTGTAGAGGAGAGAGAGAGATTTTGGGAAATGTTGAGCGAGTGCATGGGGAATTTTGAATCAAGTGAGAGAGTACTTGTGGTTGGGGATCTCAATGCTAAAGTGGGTAAAAATGTTGTGGGGGGGGGGGGGGAGAGGTAGGTAAATTTGGGGTGCCAGGGGTAAATAAAAATGGGGAGCCTTTAATTGAGCTATGTGTAGAAAGAGGTTTGGTAATAAGTAATACATATTTTATGAAACAGAGGATAAATAATGAAAGTAGTTTGTTAGATTATATATTGGTGGATGAAAGGTTGATGGGTAGGCTTCAGGATGTACATGTTTACAGAGGGGAAATGGATATATCAGATCATTATTTAGTTGTAGCTACAGTTAGAGTAGGAGGTAGATGGGACGAAAGGAAAATGGCAACAGCAAGCAAGAGAGAGGTGAAAGTGTATAAACTAAGGGAGGAGGAAGTTAGGGTGAGATATAAGCAACTATTGGCAGAAAGGTGGGCTAATGCAAGTATGAATATAGTGGGAGGGGAAGGGGGGGGGGTTGTACAGGGTTGGGATAGTTTTAAAAATACAGTATTAGAATGTGGGAAAGAAGTTTGTGGCTAAAGGAGGGTGGGTGCAGGAGGAAAGACGGTGAATGGTGGAATGAAGTAAAGGGTGTGATAAAAGAGAAAAAGGTAGCTTATGAGAGGTTTTTACCAAGCAGAAGTGTTGTAAGAAGAGCAGAGTATATGACTAAGTGAAACAAAGCTGAAGGGGATGGGAGTTTTTCAGTGGGGAGAAATAAATGGGATTAGGTTAGGGGTTTCAAATAGTTAGAAATAAAGAAGGAGTAGCAACAATGTTGAAGGATAAGTTATGGCAGGAAAAGAAGGAATATGAATGTATAAATTCAAGGATTATATGGTGTAAAATAAGGGTTGTGTGTGAAAAATGGGTTACAGTAAGTGTTTATACACCTGGAGAAGAGAGAGGTGTAGAGGAGAGAGAGAGATTTTGGGAAATGTTGAGCGAGTGCATGGGGAATTTGAATCAAGTGAGAGAGTATTGTGGTTGGGGGATCTCAATGCTAAAGTGGGTAAAAATGTTGTGGGGGGGGGGGGAGAGGTAGGTAATTTTGGGGTGCCAGGGGTAAATAAAAATGGGGAGCCTTAATTGAGCTATGTGTAAAAGAGGTTGGTAATAAGTAATACATATTTTATGAAACAGAGGATAAATAATGAAAGTAGTTTGTTAGATTATATATTGGTGGATGAAAGGTTGATGGGTAGGCTTCAGGATGTACATGTTTACAGAGGGAAATGGATATATCAGATCATTAATTTAGTTGTAGCCCTACAGTTAGAGTGGGAAAGGTAGATGGGAAACGAAAGGAAAATGGCAACAGCAAGCAAGAGAAAAGGTGAAAGGGGTATAAACTAAGGGAGGGGGAAGTTAGGGTGAGATATAAGCAACTATGGCAGAAAGGTGGGCTAATGCAAGTATGAATATAGTGGGAGGGGAAGGGGGGGGGGTTGTACAGGGTTGGGATAGTTTTAAAAATGCAGTATTAGAATGTGGGAAAGAAGTTTGTGGCTAAAGGAGGGTGGGTGCAGGAGGAAAGACGGGTGAATGGTGGAATGAAGTAAAGGGTGTATAAAAAGAAAAAGGTAGCTTATGAGAGGTTTTTACCAAGCAGAAGTGTTGTAAGAAGAGCAGAGTATATGGAGAATAAAAGAAAGGTGAAGAGAGTGGTGAGAGAATGCAAAAAGGAGAGCAGATAAAAGAGTGGGAGAGGCACTGGCAAGAAATTCTGCTGAAAATAAGAAATAATTTTGGAGTGAGATAAACAAGTTAAGAAAGCCTAAGGAATGAATGGATTTGTCAGTTAAAAACAGAGTAGGGGAGTTAATAGATGGGGAGCTGGAGGTAATGGGTAGATGGTGGGATTATTTTGAGGAGCTTTTAAATGTCGATGATGAAAAGGAGGCGGTAATTTCATGCACTGGTCAGGGAGGTATACCATCTTTTAGGAGTGAAGAAGAGCACGATGTGAGTGTTTCGAAGGGGATTCCCCTTGTTTGGAAGGGGATTCCCCTTGTTTGGAAGGGGAGTCATCTTCCAAACAATAGTATACCTCCCACCTCTCCCCTCCTCCCGTCTCATCACTCATCAATAAGTCCACAATAAAGATAAATGTCATTTTAGTATTGTTCATTGTGCATGTCTCATTGTTTTCTGTGTACGGAAATGTATATTTCATGTAATAAAAATTATTTTGTTTAATACTTTTGGGTGTCTGGAATGGATTAATTGGATTTCCAATATTTCTTACGGGGAAAATTAATTCGGCTAAAATCCAAATCAGTTAAAGGCAAGTTCTCTGGAACAGATTAATGCCATTACCCGAGGGTCCACTGTAACTCCAACAACACTGGAGGAGTCAGTTTCGTGCTGTCCTTTTTCCATCGATTAATCACTTAACTTACTTGCTACACTGTTAATGCTAGACTTTATTGCTGGTTGGCACTATAGTCTTTATCAACTCAAGCTGCTTTAGTATCTTACATATCGTAGAATCACTGAATCACTGAAGAAGGCACTTTCTTTCCTCTCTCTTCCTCCTTCACTTTGGTACTCTGCTATGAGTTCTTTCTTGAATTCTATAGTTTTTCTCACCTTCTTTACCAAGGGGCTGGCACTAGTACAATATTTTACGATATTTTCATGAGTTTTATGATTGTTCATGGTTCAATAGGTTAAGGAAGCAGTATTGCTAGGCTAAGTAAATGCTATTATTACATTTCCCAACTATATTTGTGCACCAAACATTTGCAATTTTTCAACATTCGCAAGGTTCTTGATCCCCCAACCCTCGCGAATGTGAAGGGAGGCCTGTATATAAAATATGCAATAAAACACCAGAAATTTTGGAAAGTTTCCAGACATAATAGATACATGTGCTCATGGAAAATGTAAACAAACCAGGTGGGGTGCACTGTATTAGAAAGACCAGGAGCCGTATAGCAAGTTTTGGTCATAATTTGAAATTATTAGAACGCCATATGGCAAAACGCCATAAAGCGGGGCCCTACTGTATATACACACACCCCTCTGGGGTTTTCTTCTATTTTCTTACTAGTTCCTGTTCTTGTTTATTTCCTCTTATCTCCAGGGGGAATTGGAAGGGAATTCTTCTTCTTCCGTAAGCCATGTGTGTCGTAAGAGGTGACAAAACCCCGGGGGGGGGGAGCAAGGGGTTAGTAACCCCCTTCTCCTGTATACATTACTTAAAGTTAAAAAGGAAAACTTAGTTTTTCTTTTTAGGGTCACCCTGCCTCTGTATGATACAGCCAGTTTGTTGAAAGAAAAGAAAAAAAGAGGAATGGAAAGGAAATGAAAAACTCCAAAATTTAATTCTTGATTTCAATTTCTTTCTTTCTTTACTTTTTTTTTTTTTTTAAAACAAGTCGGCTGTCCCCCACCGAGGCAGGGTGACCCAAAAAGAAAGAAAATACTTTCATCATCATTCAACACTTTCATCTCACTCACACATAATCACTGTTTTTGCAGAGGTGCTCAGAACACAACATTTAAGAAGCATATACGTATAAAGATAAACAACATATCCCTCCAAACTGCCAATATCCCAAACCCCTCCTTTAGAGTGCAGGCATTGTACTTCCCATTTCCAGGACTCAAGTCCGGCTATATAAAAATAACCAGTTTCCCTGAATCCCTTCATTAAATATTACCCTGCTCACACTCCAACAGCTCGTCAGGTCCCAAATACCATTCGTCTCCATTCACTCCTATCGAACGCGCTCATGCACGCCTGCTGGAAGTCCAAGCCCCTCGCCCACAAAACCTCTCTTACCCCTTCCTTCCAACCTTTTCGAGGACAACCCCTACCCCTCCTTCCTTCCCCTAAAGATTTATACGCTCTCCATGTCATTCTACTTTGATCCATTCTCTCTAAATGACCAAACCACTTCAACAACCCCTCTTCAGCCCTCTGACTAATACTTTTATTAACTCCACCCCCTTCTCCAATTTCCACACTCCGAATTTTCTGCATATTTACACCCACACCACTGCCCTTAGACAGGACATCTCCACTACCTCCAACCGCCTCCTCGCTGCTGCATTCACAACCCAAGCTACACAAACATATAAGAGTGTTGGCACTACTATACTTTCATTTCATTCCCTTCTTTGCCTCCATAGATAAAAGTTTTTTGTCTCCACATATACCTCAACGCACCACTCACCCTTTTTTTCCCCCATCAATTCTATGATTAACCTCATCCTTCATAAATCCATCCGCCGACACGTCAACTCCCAAGTATCTGAAAACATTCACTTCTTCCATACTCCTCCTCCTCAATTGATAACCAATTTTTCTTTATCTAAATCATTTGATACCCTCATCACCTTACTCTTTTCTATGTTCACTTTCAACTTTCTACCTTTACACACACACACTCCCAAACTCATCCACTAACCTTTGCAATTATTCTTTAGAATCTCCCATAAACACAGTATCATCAGGAAAAAGCAACTGTGTCAATTCCCATTTTGTATTTAATTCCCCATAATTTTAAACCCACCCCTCCCTGAACACCCTAGCATTTTCTTCTTTTTACAACCCCATCTATAAATATATTAAACAACCATGGTGACATTACACATCCCTGTCTAAGACCTACTTTTACTGGGAAGTAGTCTCCCTCTCTTCTACACACTTTAACCTGAGCCTCACTATCCTCATAAAAACTCTTTACAGCATTTAGTAACTTACCACCAAATTTCCCAAAACTTGCAACATCTGCCACATTGCTCCTCTATCCACTCTATCATATGCCTTTTCTAAATCCATAAATGCAATAAAAACTTCCCTACCTTTATCTAAATACTGTTTTACATATATGCTTCAATGTAAACACCTGATCTACACATCCCCTACCCACTCTGAAACCTCCTTGCTCATCCGCAATCCTACAAATTTTGTCTTACCTCTAATTCTTTTAATTTTAACCGTACCCATACACTTTTTTTAGGTAAGACACATATGCCAACAGTTAGGTATCTTTAAATTTTGAAACGTTTCGCCTACCAGTAGGCTTCTTCATTCGAGTACAGAAAAGTTGATAGTCCAAAACAACTGTTTCGGACTATGGAACAATACTCTTCTCCAGACTGAGGGGCTGACCACCTCAAACTTCAAGGGTGATTGGACTGATTACATCGCTTCAAGTATCTCTGCTTCTATCAACTTTTTTGTACTCGAATGAAGAAGGCCTACTGTGTAGGCGAAACGTTCGAATAAAGATACCTAACTGTTGCATATGTGTTTTTACCTAACAACTGTCGGTATTTTATACCGTTTTAATGTTCACCATACACTTTTCCTGGTATACTCATAAACTTAATTCCCTAAAAATTTTTACAATCTCTTTTTTTCCCCCTTCCCTTTATATAAAGGGACTATACATGCTCTCTGCCAATCCCTAGGTACCTTTCCCCTCTTTCATACATTTATTAAAGAAAAATACCAACCACTCCAACACTATATCCTCCCCTGCTTTTAACATTTCTGTCATGATCCCGTCATTCCAGCTGCTTTAACCCCCCTTTCCTTCTATGTAATTTCCTCACACACCTCCCCCACACTCACATCCTGTTTTTCTTTACTCCTAAAAGATGGTATACCTCCCTGGGCCAGTGCATGAAATTACCGCTTCCCTACTTTAATAATATGTACAGTATTCACAACAGAGCAATGCTCACCAGATTAGTAAATACATACTGCATTACCCTAAGGAAGAATGAACATAAACACACTAAATTTCTTTAATAAATGCTATACTCACTTGAAAGCTGTTTTGAGTTCCATAGGAACATACTTTTATTCCATTTCATCTGTATCTCCAGTTTTGCTGCAGGATTCATTGGTGAATACAGGATTTTCCCCGAAGTTTGTAACATTATCCTTATACTCAATGTATATGGAACTATTACCTGAAAATAAAAAAAATACTGTACTCAGTTATCATTATTTTGAATTTCCACATACAAAATCAAGTTGTCCATTTTTATACAGTAAAAACATAATGGACATTCATTCTGAGACTCTGAAATTTAATATTTCTTGACAAAGGCTGACCCAAAAAGTATGAGCTTATCACACATACAACCAAACAGTCACATAAAAAAAAGAGACTAGAAAAAATAAACTCCAAAATTCAATCATAATCACTACCATCCAAAATGGGGGAAAAAGCACATTTTTTTATATAAAAAAAATTGTGAACATACCAGATAGGCACAAAACAGCCATATACAATATATAATGCTTTTCTTATATAACACATCAGCCTTTTCCCACCAAGGCAGGGAGACCTGAACAAGGGGAAAAAACACTTTCCCAATTATTCCCCTCCATCACTGTCTTGTCAGAGGAGTGCTGATACTACAGCTCCAAAATTGCAACAACTTTCCCAAAATTCCTTCAGAGTTCAGGAACTGTACTTCCCAATTTCTTTTTAAATTAACTCGTAAACCTAATTTCATTAGCCTCCCCATCCCTATACCACCTACCAACTAACCAGCATGTCTTTGTATTGCAGTGTAAAATGTTATGAACCTGTGAATATACAGGGTGTTTCACTCATAGGAGGCCCCCAAGCTGGTACTCCTCTAGTTGCAACCGTCTTGTTTGTATATTATGCCTGTAGTAAAGGATAACTCAGGACCTCCTACTCATAGAAGGCCCCAAGGTATCCTTCCTACTGAGTTATCCTTTACTTGGGGCCTCTTATGAGTGAAACACCTCATATATTTCCCTACTACTGTACTTTTCCTCACTCCCTCCAACCTTAGTCCCAACATTTGTGTTGGCATAACTCATCTTCTGCCTGGGTGTCTATTTTCTCTGGACTTGGTACAAGACACAAACTGAAAACCAACCATAGGATTTCATTCAAAATATGCTTATTGTATTTTCCATGCCCAAATATGTTTCATTATTCTTTCTTATGAATGTCAGTTTAGAATTATATCTAAAGACATAATGTTAAAAAATCATGTGTTGCTTTGTTTCAGTGATAGTATAATAGTGACTTTTTACTGAACATAGCAAATTACAGGTAGAAACACGATCACTGCATATAAGTAAATTCACAGAGCAAAACTGCATAAAGCAACAACAGTCTGTATAGAAATTTCAGTTCTCTCAAGCTCATTAAATATTACCTTATTCCCTCACTCAATTTCATGCTCTTGTTCCTGCTCACACATACTCTCTTTCCTGGTAGCTCTCTCATTTGTTTGCTCTTACACAGTCAGTCTCTTAAATAAAGCAATAAAGGGATCAAACACTTGAAGGATAGAGAAATGCCTTCTGAATGCAGCATAAAGGGTTATAAACTATTCCACATTGACAGGATCAACAGGAAGGGTGGTGGAGTGGCGATGTATGTCAGAGATAATTTAACTTGTTGTGTTAGACATGATATAAGAATAGAAACATCGGACACAGAATCTGTTTGGCTACAGTTTCTAGAGGGGTATGAAAATTAATTCTGGGTGTGATATATAGGCCCCCAAACCTTGATAGGGAGTGCAGTAAGCTGCTATGTGACGAAATTCATAAGGCGTCTAGATGTGAAAATGTTGAGTTAATGGGGGAATTTAACTTTAGACAAATTGATTGGAACAATCTGACAGGTAATCTTGAGTCTAGCGACTTTCTTGATACAGTTCAGGATTGCTTTTTTAAAACAGTTTGTGACAGAACCAACTAGAGGAAACAATCTGCTTGACTTGGTTCTTGCCAACAAAGATTCACTAATTAATAATCTTGAGGTTAATGATGAGCTTAGGGGACAGTGATCACAAATCATTTAGTTTCAATATATTATGGAATTACCCAGTACACTGCAATCAAGTCTCTGTCAAAGACTTTCGATTGGCTGATTTCCTGGGGCTGAAAAATTACCTGGGTGGGCTAAATTGGGATGATCTGGCTATGGGTCAGGTAGCTGATGTTGGTTGCCAATAGGAAGTTTTCAGAGCATAGTTCTAGTTGCTCAGTCAACTTTTGTTCCGAGTAGGGAAATTAGATCTAACAAAAATGATCCCAAATGGATGAACAATAGATTAAAACATCTCATAGGCATATCAAAAGAGGGGAAGGGCAGTTAAGAAATCAATATATTCAATTAAAGAGAGAAATAAAAAAAAGGAATAAGAAAAGCAAAAAGGGATTATGAGGCTAAGGTCACAAGGGATTCGAAGACTAACTCAAAAGGGTTTTTCAGGTATACAGAAGTAAGATTAGAGACAAGATAGGCCCACTTAAGAGTAGCTCAGGTCAGATCACTGACAGTGGTAGGGATGTGTGAAATTTTCAATTCTTACTTCCTCTCAGTCTTTACTCAGGAAGATACTAGCGAAATTCCTGAAATAATAAATTATGTAGAACAGGACAATAATAAACTATGCACGATTGCAGTAACTAGTGACATGGTCCTCAGACAAATAGAAAAATTAAAACCTAACAAATCCCCAGGCCCTGATGAACTGTTTGCAAGGGTTTTAAAGGAATATAAAGAGGAACTTTGCAAACCTTTGGCTAATCTTTTCAACATATCACTATAAACTGGCATAGTGCCTGATAAGTGGAAAATGGCAAATGTAATACCTATTTACAAGGCAAGTGACAGGTCCTTAGCTTCGAACTAAAGACCAATAAGCCTTACCTCCATAGTGGAAAAATTTATGGAATCAATAATTGCCAAGGCAATTCGTAGCCATCTTGATAGGCATAAACTGATAAATGAATCTCAACACGGTTTTACTAAGGGGCGTTCCTGTCTTATGAATTTACTAACTTTTTTTGCTAAGGTGTTTGAGGAGGTAGATCATGGTAATGAATACGATATTGCGTATATGGACTTCAATAAGGCTTTTGATAGAGTTCCACATCAGAAACTTTTGAGGAAACTTAAGGTACACGGAATAGGAGGAGAAATTTTTTCCTGGGTAGAGGCGTGGTTGGCAAATAGGCAACAAAGAGTTTGCATAAATAGGGAGAAATCAGAATGGAGGCACATCACAAGTGATGTTCCACAGGAGTCAGTGTTGGGCCCCTTGTTGTTCACAATTTACATAAACGATATAGATAAGGGAATAAATAGCGACATAAGCATATTTGCTGATGACACCAAAATAGGCCATCCACTTCATTCTATTGAGGACATTAGTGCTCTCCAGGATGATTTGAATAGACTGATGCAGTGGTCGGAGAAGTGGCAGATGCAGTTTGATATGGACAAATGCAAAGTGCTAAATGTTGGACAGGACAAAAACCATGCCACTTATAAACTGAATAGTGTAGATCTTAATACTACTGATTGCAAAAAGGATTTACAAGTTCTGGTTAGCAGTAATCTGAAACCAAGACAACAATGCATAAGGGTTCACAATAAAGCTAACAGAATCCTTGGCTTCATATCAAGAAGTATAAATAATAGAAGTCCTCAGGTTGTTCAACTCTATATATCCTTGGTTAGGCCTCATTTAGATAATACTGGTCACCATATTACAGAATGGATATAAATGCATTGGAAAACGTACAGAGGATGACAAAGTTGATCCCATGTATCAGAAATCTTCCCTATGAGGATAGATTGAGGACCCTGAATCTGCACTCTCTAGAAAGGCATTGAATTAGGGGGGATATGACTGAGGTGTATAAATGGAAAACAGGAATAAATAAAGGGGATGTAAATAGCGTGCTGAAAATATCCAGCCAAGACAGGACTCGCAGCAATGGCTTCAAGTTGGAAAAATTCAGATTCAGGAAGGATATAGGAAAGCACTGGTTTGGTAACAGAGTTGTGGATGAGTGGAACAAACTTCCAGGTACTGCCATAGACGCTTAGACGTTGTGTAGTTTTAAAAATAGGTTGGATAAACACATGAGTGGGTGTGGGTGGGTGTGAGTTGGACCTGACTAGCTTGGGCTACCAGGTCTGGTGCCATGCTCCTTTCTTAAGTGGAAGTGACCTGACTAGGTGGTCACTGTTCTAGGCTGGAGGAGTGGCATGGACCTGGTTTGCATGGGTCAGTAGGCCTGTTGCAGTGTTCCTTCTTTCTTATGTTCTTATGAAATATACATTTTCCTACACACATAAAGAAGGATATATGCACAATATATATTGTGCATGTACTGTACTAAATGAAAAATAAATGACACTTACCTTTACTGAAGATGTAGTGATGAGTGATGGGATGGGAAGAGGGGAGATGGAGGTCTATTATTTTTTGGAAGGGGAATTCCCTTCCATAAGGACTTTAGGTAGCAAGTCTTTTTCCGGGGTTACTTTCCTTCAGATATCAGGAGATGCTATCTCCTGATATCTGTTTTTCGTTTTATCCACACCAATAACAGTCTCCAACATCTTCGAGTACTTGTGATCTGTGTTTTGAAAAGATACCTGCACCTTTTGCAACAACAGCTTCCTTGATTGCCTTTTAGTTGGCCAAGATAGTAGTGATGGTTGATTGGGGTTTGTTGTACAACCTGGCCAGCTCGGAGACACGCACTCCACTTTCATACTTTATTATCTCCTTCTTCATTTTGATTGCAATTTTCACCCTTTTTACCACACGGTTGGCACTAGAAGCTTTCTTTGGGCCCATGGTGGCTTATTTAGCAGTTACAAGCACTAAAAACACTAGAATAATACAAAATGTACCGAATGTATGCGTGGAAGCGACCACACGGGCTAGTAAACATTGGCACACTAACTGAAGGCAGGGCAGCTGAGGCGTGCTCAGGCCAGAGGGACGCATGGAAGCATTCTGGATGAATGATGTAAGTAGAGTCAGTAGAATGATGTAAGTTTGTAGGTCAGAAGAAATTTTTTACACTGAGACGCTTCCTAAGTCAATTTTAGTGTTAGATGAGGCCTTTGTAAGTCAAGGGTCCACTGTACTTTGTATATATTCCTAGACAATAGTAAATGACCACACGTCAGTGTGTTTGTGACAATCTAAGTACAATTTCAGTACCAAATATTAGTGTCAGAACAAAGATTGGTTATGAAATGACAAGAACTACTATAAATTGTAATTATCATAACATAAAAATTATATAAAGTAATATAAAAATGAGAAAAAAAGGTATATCGGCAACACTTCTGCAAGTGGCAGGACTCGATGTTGCTGTCAGGTGAGCATTAAGTGCCAACTTCACAGCCTCATATCTTGGTAAGTACTGACCCTAATTTTTTTCATTTTAATCCTATAACACCTAGAAAAATATTCTCTATTTCTATATACTATATAAAAAAAAATTTCAAAATATTCGGGGCATTGGGCGAGAGAACGTATATAACATTGTACAGTGGACCCTCAACCAATGGTGGCATCGACTAATGCCAAAATCTTTGGCGTCAAAAAATTGGCTCTACCAACAGCGAAAAACTCGTCTAAAGGCTTTCGTCCCGAACATGTCCATGCGGCCTGAGCGGACCCAGCCACTCCAAGACTCCATGTACAGCCAGTGTTTACAAGCCATTCAGTCGGTTCCACGTGCACCTGCAATACATTTTGTATTATTCCAGTGTTTTTAGTGCTTGTAACTGCGAAATAAGCCACCATGGGCTCAAAGAAAGTTTCTAGTGCCAGCCCTGTGATAAAGAAGGAAAGAAACACAATAAAATTCAAGAAAAAACTCATAGCAAAGTACCAAAGTGCAGGAGGAGAGAGAGGGGAGAATGTGCCTCTTGCAGTGATTCACTGATTCTATGATATGTATGATACTAAAGCAGCAGGTATCGATAAAGGCTATAGTGCCAGCCAGCGATGAAGTATAGAATTAACAGTGTAGAAAGTAAGTTAAGCGAGTAAGTGACAGAAAAACGACAAAAAAGTAACTCTCCAATGTAGTTAGATGTGTGTATATCCGCTGAACATACGCTGGCCAGCTATCTTCCCCTACCCTAAACCTCTGCCAGCATCTTCTCCATCAAACTAACTAATTAAACTAACATCTCCTCCAAGGTAAGTGTAAATATAAAAGTGTAAGCATAAAAGTAAATATATTAATTGTAAATATAGAAGAGCCCAATGGAAATACCTAAGTCATTCTGGCTTTTTTGGGTTATCCTAGGTACTTTACACATATGCTGCTATGTATGATAATCTATGTAACTGTATTTGTGTATACCTGAATAAACTTATTTATAAATTAAAATGTAAATATTTCTTATTTATAAATTAAAATGTAAATATTTCTTATTTATAAATTACATACATTGTTTAAGTTTGATGGTGGTGCTGGCAGAAGCCTCCACCACCACCAACACGGCTTCTCTCAGTGGCGGCCCTTAAACCCAACAACAACACTTACACCATTTACTCCTCTCATACATTATGACATATTTTATTCATTCTAGAGTATATATCATGTTTCTATGTTTATTTTTATTCTATTATCACACCGGCCGATTCCCACCAAAGCAGGGTGGCCCGAAAAGAAAAACTTTCACCATCATTCACTCCATCACTGTCTTGCCAGAAGGGTGCTTTACACTACAGTTTTTAAACTGCAACATTAACACCCCTCCTTCAGAGTGCAGGCACTGTACTTCCCATCTCCAGGACTCAAGTCCAGCCTGCCGGTTTCCCTGAACCCCTTCATAAATGTTACTTTGCTCACACTCCAATAGCACGTCAAGTATTAAAAACCATTTGTCTCCATTCACTCCTATCAAACACGCTCACGCGTGCCTGCTGAAAGTCCAAGCCCCTCGCACACAAAACAACCTTTACCCCCTCCCTCCAACCTTTCCTAGGCCGACCCCTACCCCACCTTCCTTCCACTACAGACTGATACACTCTTGAAGTCATTCTGTTTCGCTCCATTCTCTCTACATGTCCGAACCACCTCAACAACCCTTCCTCAGCCCTCTGGACAACAGTTTTGGTAATCCCGCACCTCCTCCTAACTTCCAAACTACGAATTCTCTGCATTATATTCACACCACACATTGCCCTCAGACATGACATCTCCACTGCCTCCAGCCTTCTCCTCGCTGCAACATTCATCACCATGCTTCACACCCATATAAGAGTGTTGGTAAAACTATACTCTCATACATTCCCCTCTTTGCCTCCAAGGACAAAGTTCTTTGTCTCCACAGACTCCTAAGTGCACCACTCACCCTTTTCCCCTCATCAATTCTATGATTCACCTCATCTTTCATAGACCCATCCGCTGACACGTCCACTCCCAAATATCTGAACACATTCACCTCCTCCATACTCTCTCCCTCCAATCTGATATCCAATCTTTCATCACCTAATCTTTTTGTTATCCTCATAACCTTACTCTTTCCTGTATTCACTTTTAATTTTCTTCTTTTGCATACCCTACCAAATTCATCCACCAATCTCTGCAACTTTTCTATGTTATTAATATTATTTATAATGTCACATTAGATGAATTGTGATTGATAAATAAGCTGTAGAGATGATATCAGCGTCATATTGAAGCATAACAAACTTGTCTTCCTCTTGCCTCCTACGTGTCTATCGTACACCAACAAGTTAATCAATAAAGATAAGTCAATAAAGGTAAGTATGATGTTAAATGTTCATTTATCCATTTTATTGGTGCTTTATATTTATTTGTCATTGTTTTCTCTATGTATATTTATATTTAATCTTCAAAAAAATATTTTTTTGTTAATACTTTTGGCTGTCTGAAACAGATTAATTGGATTTCCATTATTTCTTATGGGGAAAATGAATTCGACTAAAGGCTAGCTCTCTGGAACGGATTAAAGCAGTTGGCTGAGGGTCCACTGTATATATATACACATTTGGACCCATTTAGGGGTTAATGTTCTCTCTCTTTAATGTTCTTTCTCTTTACTGCTCTCTCTAATGCTCTCATTACTGAAATACTTTTCCTAGCAGATGAACTGAACAAAGTAACAGCCTAAAAAACATTACTACCATCGCCACATTCTAGCAGTCATACAAAAAAAAGATAAAGTTAAATGTTTAAATGGATAAAATTAAATGTTGAAATGGATAAAATTAAATGTGGAAATGGGTAAAATTAAATTCAAAAAAACAATTTTCAACAGTACTCTCTGGAAACATTAGCAAGTAAATGCTGCTGCAATGCATCATCCATTATTAAAAAAAAGATACACACCTGAAGCATCTTTCATTACAGCTGCTCCAATGAGTATTGGATAGATGAGGTATGTGCAGAATGTGGTGAAAATGGCACCCAGTGTCCCTTTAGGAATAGCAGAGGCTGGATCCTGTAAGCAATGTTGATCACTGTTATTAATGTTTTTTTTTTTTTTTCAACAAGTCGGTCGTCTCCCACCGAGGCAGGGTGACCCAAAAAAGAAAGAAAATCCCCAAAAAGAAAATACTTTCATCATCATTCAACACTTTCACCACACTCACACACTATCACTGTTTTTGCAGAGGTGCTCAGAATACAACAGTTTAGAAGCATATACGTATAAAGATACACAACATATCCCTCCAAACTGCCAATATTGTTATTATTATTATTAATGTAACTAGACTATATATGGTGAATGGTCAGGCCAAAGATGAGCAGACTAGTGTGATAATCAGTATGTCAGTACTGATGCAGGCAAGTCAAATAGCCATAATAAAAGATCTTTTCAAAAATTTTCTTCTTAGAATTGACAAATATAATTTTTATGAACTAATATGGCGTACAAAATGTAAATTTTTCACCAAAACTGCTTCAGAAAACTAACCTAACCCCTCAAAAATTAATGTTATTTAGCTTAATCTAACATAACCTATCTTAGGTCAGCCTAAATTAAGTTAGCATTATTAAACATCAGTTAAATTTAAGAATTTTTGATGTTCAGATTGATTTTGGCTAAGGAAGCGAAACAATGAATTTACTTGACTTGTTTTAGACATTGCTTGCAATCATGGCTTTATAAACCATGACTGCAACCAATACCTAAAACAAAAGCATAATATACAATCATGGGTACTCAGTTTATATAAAATGGATGGTTTCCTTTTACTTATTTTTTTTTAACACACTGGCTGGGTGACCCACGAAAGAAGGAACACTTTCATCATTAACTCCATCACTGTCTTGCCAGAGGCATGCTGATAATTCAATTCAAAACTGCTGATATCCCCACCAGTCCTTCAGAGTGCAGGTACTGTACTTCTCACCTCTAGGTCTCAAGTCCAGCTAACCACTTTCCTTGAATTCCTTCATAAATGTTACTGTGCTCACACTCCAAAAGTATATCAAGTCATAAAAACCACTTGCCTCCACTCACTCCTATGTAACACAACCCCTTACCTACCTTTCTTCCATTACAGATTTATATACCCTGCAAGTCATCCTGTTTTGTTCTATCCTCTCTAAATGTTCAAACCACCTGAACAACCTATCTTTAGCCCTCTGAATAACACTTTTTAGTAACTCTGCACCTTCTTCTAATCTATTTATTTATTAACACATCGGCCTATTCCCACCAAGGCAGGGTGGCCTGAAAAAGAAAAACTTTCATCATCATTCACTCCATCACTGTCTTGCCAGAGGGGTGCATTACATTACAGTTATAAAACTGCAACATTAACACCCATCCTTCAGTGTGCAAACACTGTGCAAACAGCTCCAGGACTCAAGTCTGGCCTGCCAGTTTCCCTGAATCCCTTCATAAATGTTACTTTGCTCACACTCCAACAGCACGTCAAGTATTAAAAACCATTTGTCTCCATTCAGTCCTATCAAATACGGTCACGCGTATTTGATAGTGAATTCTCTACATAATAGTATTCACATCGCACATTGTCTTCAGACACTACCACTGCCTCCAGCTTGCTCTGTTCTGTAACATTCATAACCCATGCTTCACACCTACATAAGAGCAATGAGAAGGTGTGTAAAGAAAGTTGAAAGTGAACATAGATAAAAGTATGATGATGAGGGTATCAAATGATGTTAAAGAAAAATTGGATATCAGATTGGAGGGAGGGATTATGGAAGAAGTGAATGTGTTCAGATATTTGGGTGTAGATTTGTCAGCAGATGGGTTAATGAAGGACGAGGTTAACCATAGAATTGACGAAGGAAAAAAGGCAAATGGTGTGTTGCGGTATCTGTGAAGACAAAAAACGTTATCCATGGAGGCAAAGAAGGGAATGTACAGTGTAACCTCAAATTTCGAACGTATCGCTTATCGAACTCTTCAAAAATTGGCCGCTTTTTTCGAACCAACTTTGTCCCTATTATCAAACTCGCCCCTTCTTTCGAACTGCCAGGTACCGTACCTGTCCGCCAGCCCACTCTGTCTGTGTCCCCACACAGGCGCCGTGAGCCAGTCTGGCTTTGTTGATGCTTGAGTGAACACTAACCTGTGGTCTCATTCAAACATTTTACAATTAATTCATTGTGTTTAGTGCTTGTGGGACTGTGAAATAAGCTACCATGGGCCCAAATAAACTTGCTAGTGGTACCTCTGCGGTAAAGAAAGTGAGAAAAACCATAGATGTGAAGAAGGAAATAATACAGAAGTATGAGAGTGGTGTGCAACTTGTTGAGCTTGCCAGGATGTACCATCGCTCCTATCCTGGCAAAGAAAGAAGAAATCAAGGAAGCTGATGTTGCAAAAGGTGTTAATATGCTAACCAAAACAAGACCATAGACAATCGATCAGGTTGAGAAGTTGTTGCTGGTGTGGATCAAGGATAAAGAGATGGCAGGTGATAGTGTTTCAGAGACAATTATTAGTGAAAAAGCAAGGAAGTTGCATGCTGATCTGGTAAAGAAAACTCCTGGAACCAGTGCTAATAGTGAATTTAAGGCCAGCAGAGGCTGGTTTGACAAATTTAAGAAGCATAGTGGCATACACAATGTTGTAAGGCATGGTGAGGCAGCAAGTTCAGACAAACGGGCGGCTGAGAAGTTTGTACAGGAGTTTTAGGTTTACGTAGGCACTGAAAAATTCAAACTCCAACAAGTGTTCAGTTGTGATGAAACAGGCCTGTTTTGGAAGGAAATGCCAAAGAGGGCCTACATTACTCAGGAGGAAAATGCACTCCCAGGACACAAGCCTATGAAAGACAGGCTAACTCTTTTATTCTGTGCTAACGTTAGTAGTGATTTTAAAGTGAAGCCTTCATTTGTGTATCATTCAGAAAATCCCAGTGTGTTTAAAGAAAAACAATGTCGTCAAAAATAAATTGTGTGTGTTGTGGAAAGCAAACAATAAGGCATTGGTCACAAGGCAAGTTTTCAAAAAGTGGGTCCATGAAATGTTTGGCACCAGTATAAGAAAATACCTCCTAGACAATAATTTGCCACTCAAGTTCCTCCTGTTAATGGACAATGCTCCTGCACATCCTCCAAACCTGGTAGACCTACTGTCTAGGGACTACAGTTTCATCACAGTGAAGTTCTTGCCTCCTAACACCACTCCTCTCCTCCAGCCCATGGACCAGCAGGTCAATTCTAACTTCAAAAAAATCTATATAAAAGCAATGTTTGAAAAGTGCTTTGAAGTGACCACAGACACTAAGTTGACCCTAAGAGAGTTCTGGAGGAATCACTTCAATATCTACAGCTCCATAAGCCTTATAGGTAAGGCTTGGGAGGGAGTGACTTCCAGGACTCTGAACTCTGCTTGGAGACAATTATGGCCAGATTGTGTCCAAAAGAGGGTTTGAGGCTGACCCTGACCCTGTTGACCCTCTACCTGTTGTGGACTCTATTGTGGCATTGGGGAACACCCTGGGGCTGGAAGTGAGTGGGGAGAATGTGGAAGAGTTGGTGGACAACCACAGGGAAGAGCTAACCACTGAAGAGTTGGAAGAGCTTCATCTGGAACAGCATCAGACCACAGCTCAGGAACTTGCTTCAGAGGAGGAAGAGGGAGTGGAGGAGGTGCCTTCTTCAGTGATTAAGGACATGTGTGCAAAGTGGAATGAGTTGCAAACTTTTGTTGAAAAGTATCACCCTGACCAAGCTGAAACAACACATCTCTGCAACAAGTTCAGTGACAGAACCATGCCCCATTTTAAGGAAATCTTAAAGAGGTGCCAGAAACAGGACTGTGGACAGTTTTTTGTGAGACAGGGATCCAGTGACTCTCAAGATGGTCCTAGTGGCATTAAAAGACAGAGAAGAGAAGTAACCCCAGAGAGGGCTTTACCTGAAGTCCTCATGGAGGGGGATTCTCCTTCCAAACACTAACCCCAACTCCTCTCTCCTCCTCCCTATCTTCCAGATGCCATCACCAATCTTCAATAAAGGTAAGTAAAAATGTTATTTTATATGTTTATTTAAATTTATTAATAATTGTACACTATATTTGTTGTGTGTATGTAAAACTATAATGTAATACTATCCATAAAATGTATTTTTTTGTGAATATTTTTGGGTTTCTGGAACGGATTAATTGTATTTCCATTATTTCTTATGGGAAATATTGCTTTGCCTTTCAAACATTTCAACTTTAGAACTAGCTCCCGTAACGGATTAAGTTCAAAATTTGAGGTTCCACTTTATGAGAGTATAGTGGTACCAACACTCTTATGTGGGTGTGAAGCATGGGTTGGGAATGCTGCAGTGAGGAGGAGGCTGGAGGCAGTGAAGATGTCATGTCTAAGGGCAATGTGTGGTGTAAATATTATGCAGAGAATTTGAAATGTAGAAATAAGGAGTTGTGGAGTTACAAAAAATATTATTCAGATGGCTGAAGAGGGGTTATTGAGGTGGTTTAGTCATTTAGAGAGGAATGAGCAAAATAGAATGACCTGGAGGGTGTATAATTCTGTAGTGGAGGGGAGGAGGGGCAGAGGTCGTCCTAGGAAACGATGGAGGGAGGGGTTTAAAGAGGTTTTGTGTGCAAGGGGCCTGGACATCCAGCAGGCATGTGTGAGCATGTTAGATAGGAGTGAATGGAGACTAATGGTTTTTGGGACATGACGAGCTGTTCAGGTGTGAGCAGGGTAATATTTTGTGAAGGGATTCAGGGAAACCGTTAGCTGGACTTGAGTCCTGGAGGTAGGAAGTACACTGTCTGCACTTTAAAGGAGGGGTCTGGGATATTGGCTGTTTGGAGTGACATCTAAACTGTCATATCTGGGCAGCTCTGCAAAGACAGTGATTATGTGTGAATGATGGTGAAAGTGTTAAGTGAAACTGCTCTTTTTTTTTGGGGGGAGGGGGGTCCCCTTGCCTCAGTGGAAGACAGCCAGGCATGAAGAGTAACATTAAGACATAAAAAAAATCAATATCATACATTTCCTCAAAATAAGATATATACCTGTGATTGGCCTTCAGATTTCTTCTACTCTCAAAACCCAGCCTGAGGTCAGGTTGCATTGTTGACAATCCAGTCAACCAAGTTGTTGCTAATAGTTTGTCACAGGTAATAACGTAGAACTTAGCCAAACAGATTGTGAAAAGGACTTGGGGATTATGGTAAGCAGCAACCTTAAACCAAGACAGCATTGCCTAAGCGTACGTAATAAAGCAAACAGATTACTGGGATTTATATCTAGAAGTATAAGCAACAGAAGTCCATTGGTTATTTTACAGCTTTATACATCATTAGTAAGGTCTCACCTAGATTATGCAGCTCAGTCCTGGTCTCCATTTTTTTTTTTTTTTTTTCAACAAGTCGGTCGTCTCCCACCGAGGCAGGGTGACCCAAAAAAGAAAGAAAATCCCCAAAAAGAAAATACTTCCATCATCATTCAACACTTTCACCACACTCACACACTATCACTGCTTTTGCAGAGGTGCTCAGAATACAACAGCCTAGAAGCATATACGTATAAAGATACACAACATATCCCTCCAAACTGCTAATATCCCAAACCCCTCCTTTAAAGTGCAGGCATTGTACTTCCCATTTCCAGGACTCAAGTCCATATTACAGAATGGATATAAATTTATTAGAAAACATTCAGCCTAGAATGACTAAATTAATACGTAGCATTAGAAATCTTCTGTACAATGAAAGACTGAAGACTCTTAAACTGCATTCACTTGTAAGACGAAGAATGAGGGGAGACATGATAAAAGTGCACAAGTGGAAGATGGGTATTAACAAAGGGAATATAAATAAGGTTTTGAGGATATCCCTCCAAGAGAGAACCTGTAATAATGGATTCAAATTAGACAAGTTTAGAGTTCGAAAGGATGCAAAAGTACTGGTCTGGTAATAGGGTAGTTGACGAGTGGAACAGTCTGCCTAGTAGGGTTATCGAAGCTAAAACCTTGGGTAGTTTCAAATTTAGGTTGGATAAGTACATGAGTGAGAGGGGTTGGATTTGAGTGGACGTGCACCTGAGTAAATAGAATTGTCAAAGCTTATTGCTTGGGTAACATTTATTTTGTTAGTGAGTTGGATTTGTGAAGGACCTGCCTAGTATGGGCCAACAGGTCTATTGCAGTGTTCCTCCCTTCTTATGTTATGTTAACATAACCCAGTCTGAGGTCAGATTGCATTGCTGACAACCTAGTCAACCAAGTTGTTGCTGATAGTGGGTCACAGGTTAACATAGACATTACATCCTGCCTGATTAGGCACTTATGGGTGATAATGGTCAAGTTTCCTCTGTAAAAATTCTATCATTATTTAAGAATATTTGATAGTGTGAATGACTGAAAAAGTGTTTCTTTTTTGGGTTACCCTACCTCAGTGGGAGATGGCCAGTGTGTTAAAAAAAATTATTCTTACACTGGTAATGAATATTATAGTTTTGAGCACACATCTGCTGTACTACCAGCATCACTGATGCTCATCTGAAGTCAGAAAACAAATTTTAAATTATTATGAAGGTAATGTACAAGTGTACTAACCTTAAGATCTCCAGAGAGATTTGCTCCAGCCACAATGCCTGTGACAGCAGGGAAGAATACTCCGAACACACTGAACATATCTTGGTCTTTTCCTTCAGACTTTCGGTAATCAGAACCCAAATTCAAGGACAGAACTTTACCTAAAAATTCATAGATAATTATGTAACTTAGTAATTCAGTATAAAGTTTATATATTATGGTATAAGAATACAGATTAAGATTAAATTATATGATGCACTTATTTTGATCAATTTTAAATTGTTTAGAATCAAGAAGTATAAATGTACATGGCTCTAATACAGTAAACCATTAACCTAAGAAACTAATACGGGAATTATATGGGTGTCTGCCAAATCAGAATGCCAGAAAATGGCCATAAAATGTACTAAAGTATTCTACTGTATACTTAATACAGTACTGTACACATAATTTACAGATACAGTAGGGCCCCACTTATTCGGCAGGTTAGGTTCCAGGCTACTGCCGGAAAGCAGAACTCCATTTTCTTCCATTTATAAATGCCAGACAACAAGTTTACACTAACATATATTAAGTTAGCAACAGAGCTAGGCATTAAAAAGTAAAATACACACACAGTACACTCATTATTTACCTCAAAATATTTGAAGTCTTAATGTAGGGCAAAAGGTGAGTAGTATTTACTCTAAGAACTCAGGTGTGGTAGCCCTCCTGGCCACCCCACCCACACATACTATACTACGATGCTTAAAGCTCCCTAAAGTGATAAACTGCATATACAGTACAAGCATTACTTACCTTAAAATAGTATGGGTAGCCAGGAAGGGCAGCCCTCATCACCCCACCCCGCCCACATATAATGTAAACAAACCATATGAACGTGTTTGGTTTTGGTCACTTTACATTGTGTACAAGTTGTCTCCATGTTGATACAGTAGAATAAATAATGAGAAACTCCCATTCTCATGTAACACCATTTTTAGAAGAAATGACATCCTGAGTGAAGGCATATAAAAGGAATAATTTTCTATTTACCCCCAGTAATATTATAGTGACAAATTTTCTATGATGTTGGACTACAGGTTGCCTGGCTACCACAAGTCCTACAAGTTGCCTGGCTAGCACAAGTCCTACAAGTTGCCTGGCTAGCACAAGTCCTACAAATCACCTGGCTACCAATCTTATTTTTTTTTTTTCAACATACCAGCCGTATCCCACCAAGGTAGAGTGGCCCAAAAGGAAAAATGAAAGTTTCTCCTTTTAAATTTAGTAATATATACAGGAGAAGGGGTTACTAGCTCCTTGCTCCTGGCATTTTAGTCGCCTCTTACGATACGCATGCCTTACGGAGGAAGGATTCTGTTCCACTTCCCTATGGAGATAAGAGGAAATAAACAGGAACAAGAACTAGAAAGAAAATGGAAGAAAACCCAGAGGGGTATGTATATATTGCTTTTACATGTATGTGTAGTGTGACCTAAGTGTAAGTAGAAGTAGCAAGATGTACCTGAAACCTTGCATGTTCATGAGACAGGAAAAAAGGACACCAGCAATCCTACCATCATGTAAAACGATGACATGCTTTCGTTTTATACTCACATCTCGTATTTATGTTAATTTATTCTACTGTGGGGTGTATTTAGATGGATTAAGCAAAATGTCTATATTAACGTTTTATACGATATATAATGCTCCATAGAGTGATTATTATTGTGTTATTATTATTATCATTATTAATATGGCATCTTCAAGGCTAATAAAACACTCTTAGTGATTTTAATGTGTACCTGCATGCCAGCACAGCATGTAAGTTTACTTAGGTACAGGTACACAATAATAATAATAATAATAATAATAATAATAATATTTTTTTTTTCAACAAGTCGGCCGTCTCCCACCGAGGCAGGGTGATCCAAAAAGAAAGAAAATCCCCAAAAAGAAAATACTTTCATCATCATTCAACACATTCATCTCACTCACACATAATCACTGTTTTTGCAGAGGTGCTCAGAAATACAACAGTTCAGAAGCACATACGTATAAAGATACACAACATATCCCTCCAAACTGCTAATATCCCAAACCCCTCATTTAAAGTGCAGGCATTGCACTTCCCATTTCCAAGACTCAAGTCCGGCTAAATAAAAATAACCAGTTTCACTGAATCCCTTCACTAAATATTACCCTGCTCACACTCCAACAGCTCGTCAGGTCACAAATACCATTCGTCTCCATTCACCCCTATCGAACACGCTCACGCACACTTGCTGGAAATCCAAGCCCCTTGCCCACAAAACCTCCTTTACCCCCTCCCTTCAACCTTTTCGAGGACGACCCCTACCCCGCCTTCCTTCCCCTACAGATTTATACACTCTCCATGTCATTCTACTTTGATCCATTCTCTCTAAATGACCATACCACCTCAACAACCCCTCGTCAGCCCTCTGACTAATACTTTTATTAACTCCACACCTCCTAGTTTCCACACTCCAAATTTTCATCATATTGACACCACACATTGCCCTTAGACAGGACATCTCCACTGCCTCCAACCGTCTCCTCGCTGCAGCATTTACAACCCAAGCTTCACACCCATATAAGAGTGTTGGTACTACTATACTTTCCTACATTCCCTTCTTTGCCTCCATAGATAACGTTTTTTGTCTCCACACATACCTCAATGCACCACTCACCTTTTTTTCTTCGTCAATTCTATGATTAACCTCATCCTTCAGAAATCCATCCGCTGACACGTCAGCTCCCAAATATCTGAAAACATTCACTTCTTCCATACTCCTCCCCAATTTGATAACCAATTTTTCTTTATCTAAATCATTTGATACCCTCATCATCTTACTCTTTTCTATGTTCACTTTCAACTTTCTACCTTTACACACACACTCCCAAACTCGTCCACTAACCTTTGCAATTTTTCTTTAGAATCTCCCATAAGCACAGTATCATCAGCAAAAAGTAACTGTGTCAATTCCCATTTTGTATTTGATTCCTCATAATTTAATCCCACCCCTCTCCCAAACACCTGAGCATTTACTTCTTTTACAACCCCATCTATAAATATATTAAACAACCATGGTGACATTACACATTCCTGTCTAAGACTTACTTTTACCTGGAAGTAGTCTCCCTCTCTTCTACACACCCTAACCTGAGCCTCACTATCCTCATAAAAACTCTTTACAGCATTTAGTAACTTACCATGTGTTCCATATACTTGCAACATCTGCCACATTGCTCCCCTATCCTCTCTATCATATGCCTTTTCTAAATCCATAAATGCAATAAAAACTTCCCTACCTTTATCTAAATACTGTTCACATATATGCTTCAATGTAAACACTTGATCTACACATCCCCTACCCACTCTAAAACCTCCTTGCTCATCCGCAATCCTACATTCTGTCTTACCTCTAATTCTTTCAATAATGACCCTACCGTACACTTTTCCTGGCATACTCAGCAAACTTAATCCTCTATAATTTTTACAATCTCACTTAATCCTCTATAATTTTTACAATCTCACTTAATCCTCTATAATTTTTACAATCTCTTTTGTCCCCCTTCCCTTTATATAAAGGTACCTTCCCCTCTTTCATACATTTATTAAACAAAAATACCAACCATATATTATTTTGCGACACCAGGAGACACCTAAGGATTTAGGGTTGCGACAGTCAAAGGGTTAAATGTCAATGAAGAAAGGGAGGCAGTAATTTCATGCACTGGCCAGGGAGGTATAACATCTTTTAGGAGTGAAGAAGAGCAGGATGTGAGTGTGGGGGAGGTGCATGAGGCATAACGTAGAAGGAAAGGGAGTAAAGCAGCTGGAACTGACAGGATCATGACAGAAATGTTAAAAGCAGGGGGGATATAGTGTTGGGGAGGCTGATAATTTTGTTTAACCCGTAAACAGTCCAAACGTATATATACGTTTTTACCGCTAGTGCCCCAAACATATATATACGTTTTATTTTTCCTGCCTTCAAATTTGGCAGGATTGCCCTGAGATCCCTTGTCAACATAGAATGGGTCCTAACACTCAGTGTGCACGGTATTAAAAAAATCTGGGACCACTCAGTACCTTGTGGGAGCACCAGTTCAAATGACCACCAGCTAGAGCAAACAGCACAGCAAACACCTGGGATTCACTGATGTCATGTAGTATTAGCACTCATTTTAAGAGGAAAGTGATTTTGACCCTGAGTTTAGTAGCTTTGAGGTGAATGTGGCCACAAGTGGTTGAGGAAATATAAAAAAACCTCGATAATAACCCATGTGCAATATTTGTGCAACACCCTTTCAAAATGTCTTATAATCTGTGCCCTAAGTCAAGAGAAACAACTCTGGCTGGCTGGCTGGCTGGTTGGCTGGCTGGCTGGTTGGCAGGCTGGTTGGCAGGCTGGCTGGCTGCCTGGCTGGATGATTGGCTGACTGACTGGCTGGCTGGCTAGCTGGCTGGCCAGCTGGCTGGCCAGCTGGCTGGCCAGCTGGCTGGCCAGCTGCTGGCAGCCTGGCTCTATCTCCGTTTGTCTGTCTGTATCTATGTCTATCTCTGTCTCTATTTGTCTCTATCTATCTGTTTCTGTCTATCCCTGTCTATCTCTTTCTATCTGTCTATCTCTGTCTCACAGGTACACATAAATACATGTATACATAGTGTACATTACCTAGGATAACCCAAAAAATCCAGACAAAGTGCTATACTCTGCTTGAAGATGTGAGTAAAGGTGATGATGCAGTCTTGTGGCTCTCTGAGACAGAGAGCTAGACAGATACAGATAGACAGGGAGCTTGACAGACAGACAAATAGACAGACATGTTTGTGTACCAGTGAAAACAAAGGAGGGCATGCTCATCAAACGTCACCTCTAATCTTTTATCTGCTGCACCCTCGTGTATGCTCATCAAAGTCAGCTCTTATCAGATGTTATCTCATCTTATCATGTCACTGTCAGGGGTGGACATTGTTTTTCATGCTTCAAGGGAACTTATTATTTTATTATTATTATTACGTATTTTTCTTCTCCTCCTTATCCTTCTCCTCCTTCTCCTCCTCCTCCTCCTCCTCATTATTATTATATACTTCCACATATCCAAAACACTGCTGGGACATATAAATACTTTACAGTGGACCCTCGACCAG